TCCTTCGAATTGTAGTTTTCTTCTATAGGTGTCTCCTTGACACCTGTCCTCATATGACCCTGGCTGTTGCGAGGACATAAATCATCTAATACAGTACATCCTTTGAAGTCCTTCTGTATGGCTTGATGATGTTTTCAAACCAATGGTCTGGAGCATTACTCGGTTAAGAAGACTGAGTGCCGTTTAACAGAGGGTCTCTCTCATAATACCCTGGCTCCCTAGGGGAAGGAGTGGGGTACCAAAGGGGGATTCTCCAATTCAATTTCACAATTTGTTGTTAGGACCCCTGCACATCTATAGTAATCAGGTTTTCCGTCTGTCTGTCCTTCTATCTGTTTTTAGCTCCCCTGCCAAGGACAAGTGAGCTTTTACCCTGGTGCGGCGTCCGGCGTCCCGTCCCGTCGTGTCGCATCCCGATTCAATGTAAACACTTAGCAACTTCATTCTTTGACAGATTTTGGTCAAACTTTATACAAAGGTCAAGTATGGGTACATTTCGGACATCTTCGTATTTCAGGGATCCAAGGTCAAGGCCAAGGTCACACTTGCTATATATAGAAATATCATCCCGTCCCGTCGCGTCCTGTCTCGATTCAATGTAAACACTTGGCAACTTCATTTTTCGACAGTTTCTGGTCAAACTTTATACAAAGGTCAAGTATGAGTAAACTTCATAAATCGTTGTATTTCAGGGATCCAAGGTCAAGGTCAATGTCACACTTGCTATACATAGAAAATCATCAACTGATTCAATTTAAACACTTAGCAACTTCATTCTTTCACGGTTTTGGTCAAACTTTATACATAGGTCAAATATGGGTATACCCTTGTGTTTCAGGGTTCCAAGGTCAAGGCCAAGGTCACTTGCTATATATAGAAATCAACAACTGATTCAATTTAAACACTTAGCAATTTCATTCGTTCATGGATTTTGGTCAAACTTTATGCAAAGGTCACGTATGAGTATACTTCGGACATTGTTGTGTTTCAGGGTTCCAAGGTCAAGGCCAAGGTCACTGTTGCTATGTATAGAAAATCATCAACTGATTTAATTTAAACACTTAGCAACTCTATCCAATATGTTATGGAGAGGGTAATAACATACAGAAAAAACATAAGAATATTAAAATCAACTGAAAGTGTAGTACCTTGTGTGTGTGCATGTTTCAGGTTATCAAGATCAAAGTGGTTGTAACTTTTTATAGAACACTTAAACTAATTTCACATGGCAGCGGGGGCATTTATGTCTTACAGACCTTTTCTAGTCTCTTTAAAATCTTCTCAATAACCTAGAGGCCCAGAGACCGGGTATTGGGCCTGTAGCGTGCTGGGGTGAAGAGCTATCAAGTTTGTTCAAATGAGTGACCTTGCCCGACTTTTCCAGGTAACAAGGGTTAAATGAGGTAAAATGTTTAAACAACTTATTTTCAATAGAGGCCCAGAGACCTGATATTGTGCCTGTAGCATGCTTGAAAAAATGACTACCAAGTTTGTTCAAATGAATTATCTTGCCTGCCTTTCAAGGTAACAGAGGTCAAATGTGCTAAAACCTTAAAACAACTTCTCAATAACTAAGAGGACCATAATATTGAGCCTATAGCATGCCTGGATGAGAGGCTACGAAGTGTGTTCAAATGATGCCATTGACCGCCTTTCAAGGTCACAGGGGTCAAATGTGCTATGGTTGAATAAAGTGGTAATGAGCTAAGCATCCCCATAAATGACCTAGATCAGCTTCAAAGTTGCATTAGAAGCAAATGAGCGACACAGGCCCATTGGGCTTCTTGTTTAATTTCTGCACATTATCTTCAGTAATGTTGGTTGGATTGCTTTCAGACTTTATCTAGTGCTTTTCTGAAGAAAGTGCTTGCTATGAATAGCTATTCAGGTCCGGCGGTCAAAGGTCAAGGTCACTGTTACCATGAATAGAAAATTAGTTAAGGCACAATATTTCCAATTCTGTTGGGATGATTACACTCAGGCTTTATCAAGTGCTACCTCAGAGAAAGAGCCTGCTTTGGTGGTGACAGGTTAAGGTCATTGTTACTTTAGAAAGTATTTGCTTAGACTACAAATTGTAGCTTTTGAAGCATCGATGTCTAATTTCAAGGTTAATGTTACTATAAATGGAAAAACATTTTATGCACAATATGTGGAGCTCTTTTGGGCCGTATGCACTTCAACTTTATCCAGTGTAATAAAATGTTTGCTTAAGCTTTTGGATAGCTTTTCAGTCTTTGATATCAAAGGTCAAGGTCACTTACTATAAATAGAACATCAGTGTATATATATAAATCTTATTACCGGTTAGCTTGTAATAATAATAATAATAAATGATGTACAACATTTATATAGCGCCCTATATAATTTGTAAAATTACTCTAAAGCGCTTTATAACATATGGATAATAGTAATGGTTATAATTTGTGTAAACAAAAAACAAAGGCTTACAATCACTTTTATACATTTAAGCAAGCAATGTGCACATAATTGAACAAATAAAAGGGTGGTATTTACATGACGTCTCTTAGCAAGGATTCTAAAATGCAGACGTGAAGAGGTGAGTTTTGATGTCCTTCTTGAACTTGGCCAGGGTATTTGACTTTCTAATAGCAGATAGTAAGCTATTCCACAACGTAGCCGAAACCCTCCCAAAGCACCTGTTTCCGTAGGTCACAGTACAAGATTTTGGGACACACAACACAGATTCTGACTCCGACCACTCCTGTATTAAAATTATTTCTAGTTTTCACCATCTTAAATCTGGTAGTATTGAATAAGACGTATTGCCTCATACTTATAGATTATCACACTATATTTTCAGGGGTTTTCCTGAGAACAATGTTCTCATCGCGAGCACGTGGATGAAATCGAGAGACCACCGCAGGTGGACTCGAGATTAAATCTTCGTGCGAGCGATGAGAAAATTGTTCGAACGCCAAACCCTGAAAATACTGTATGATAAACTATTTATCATCTATATACTACTACCTTATATATTTCTCCATTCAAAAAACTCAACTAAACACCATGTTTTCCAAATGACTTCTAAGCTCAATGGTCAACGATCGCCTGTAACAAACGTAAACAAAGAGAAGTTTTGCGCGGAGGAATACCATGAACCTAAAAGCTACGTAGAGTTATTTTTTTTAAACAATCCTATCGTCATTGGCTTTTCCATATGCACATTTACACCTGGAATGGTGTTGTCATTCTCAACAACTTTGTATTACTATGTTTATGACAGACTATTTTCTTACGCGGATTACTTTTGTGTGGACACTATTTCCGGTTTCGGACGAGTAGACGTTCTTTTTTGAGAAAATCCGTTCTCATGTGCTGGGGAATGGGAAAATCCGTTCTCAAGTTGTTCTCAGGTCGTTCTCAACTTTTTCTCATACTGACAACCAATGATAATGAATTTATCATGCTACCGGCAGGTGGTTAAAAATAGCATATAGATGATAAATGAAAAATATCATTGTTAAATCTTTTATTTTGCGGAACAAAACAAAGGTTTACTATTTAAACATACAATAGAGAACACCTGCTACAATGATGACTCTTAGCCCGAACAGTATCCCGACAAACATTTGGTGTCGTCACAAAAGTACATACTCGGTTTTAACGGAAGTAAAACTCTTGTCGATTTACTTCTGTGCTAGAAATTGCAAAGTAAAGAGTCCTTTGTTTGATCAAAGATATAGATTTAACTGACTCTGCACGGATGTTGTGTTCGTGGGATGCATTACCTGTGTAACAAATCACTTCAAGTGTCGTTATAATGAATTAAGTACCGGACGTCAGTACAAGATTGGGACAAACTCTGTACCACCGCATGCTTGCTGTCACGTTTTATGTGCATACACGTACTGCAAACGAAGGGCCTGAAACTAAGTCAACGACCTCTTTGTAACGACAATGTATTCACGTTCAAACGGCGACTGATTTACTGTTATGTCATTCCCCGAATGACAAAGCACTACTTTCTTTTGAGGTTCTTGTACAATATTTCGAAATTTCAGACACTAATGCCGAAATACGAGTGATGTGGTGTACATGTCAACATAAATAACTCGAATTACCGCGGTAACATCAAAAGAGAGTTTAATGCTATTTCTGATAGGATCCATATTGACGAGGAGTCTATTCAATGAAAGCTTGATGTTTTAAAATCGTGTCAGGTTGTGTATGGGACAATATTTGACATGGTATGAGCGACCCGAAATCTGACGGTAACTCAGCGTAATATCAATAATACATGTCGTGGTGTGCAGCGTGCTGAAATGATCCCGAGTCCCAGTGGACACAGAATAAAGGCCATATTCATGCAGAAGTGTAATGATGTCACCACTATATCCATCAATCCAGATGTATCACTTACTTAAAGTGATATAAGTTGTGACATTTTAACAACCCACACTTACCATGCGTACGACTGTCTACGTCAAAGCAGAACTACTATAACAGATTATCTTTATATATATTATCGCTATTCTGTATCAATTAAACATCCAAAGATTGATTATACAAGTATCTTGTACAGTTATTTAATTGAACTGACTATAACCATATCACTATTTCTATGAAAATCATGACGACTGTATTTCACGATAGTTAGCTTGCCTCTTCTTACTAGTAGATTTAATTGCGATTTGTGTAAAGAAAACGTAGTTATATATTAATCTTTACAAAATGCGAATGATTGTCACATGGCGTGTAAAGAGGATAAAATATTTACTCTAAGTACAGGACATGTTTTACTATCAGGGAAATATGTTCCCTTTAAAACTAGAAACTAATAACAATATAACAATTATAGATAGGACTTAAGATATGCGGTTTGTTTCGTAGCTTGATATATATATTACCGAGTTAAGTTCTGTCCCTCCTTACACAGTCTATCCTCTACACTGCCCCGCGTCTTGTGCCATGGACGCTGTAGACATTTAACCTTTTAGAGAACAAAGCCTATTGAAATATGATGAAAACAAAACATAATAAAGCACTGTTTTTATTTACGATCAATATTACATGCAGTTTAATAACTTAATAATCAAAACAAAACAGTCAAGGGAAAATAAATAAATGGCACTTTCTTACACACAGATTTTGTAGTAGTAAAAACAGATACAAAAAAGTTATGCTGGAATCAGCGCTGGTAACTAGCAGCGAAATGAAAACCCATCTTACTGACCCAGTGAAGTCATCTAGTTCAATGGCTACCTATATTATATGGTCTTACGAGCCATGGTTGGTAACCAATACAGTGGTTGCACGGCGTTTGACTGCTGTTATTAATAGGATTGCTGTACTTATTACAAACCTGGTCTCTAAAACCGTCAGACAAATAATCAAAATAGCACTGCTGTTATCACTGTTGGAACTTTTCTTTGTCATTTTCCAGTTACATCTGTTATATACACGTTATAAAACTCCAGTGCGGTCACAAATAACTAAAAACTACAAAACACATTTTTTGTTTCTGCACCCAATTGATAAGGCGGTTAAATATAGACCTCAAACATTGCACTCAAAAGGAGTTGTCTAATCATTATAAACGTTTCTATGTAATATATATTAACAAAATTTAACACTACTCTGCTATTCAATTTTTGAAAAGATATTATATATTTTACAATATAACAAAGCTATACATACATCACAATATTTTATACAATAAGTATATACATAGATATCCGTTAACATAGATATTCATTTTCATTATTTTGACCGATAGAACAATTAAATCAACAAACAATAATTATATTTTTTTTCATGTTTTCACTCGGAACTGATGAAATACTGAGAATAAATTGTAACTCCGCAGACACCAATCTACCACCGCACGTCATTCGTTTAATCATAGCGCTGTAGTACTTCCATATATATACAATTTGTGTTACATGTATCCCCTTACTATGTGCTAAACATGATGCTTGCCGATAGCTTGACAACTTAGATGGTTTAGATCCCCACTACTAATTAATTAGTGGGGTGAATAATTCCCTTTTCTCTTTCGCTCTTTTCCTCCTCCTTTATATTACAATATTTACGATACCCCGCTTTGTGCGTTGTGTCGTATCGTCAATTCATTTTTCAAGTGATGTCATACAATATAGAACAACGGCAATCTGCTCATCTCGACCAAAGTTTAAATGATTCACGTATAACTAAGCGAGGACGGAAATGTTATAGAATCTAAGCCCGAGAATGAGATAACCCGATCTATAAAGTTCGAAAACATTCAGTTTCATCACACCCTCAAGTAGCATAGACTCTCAACTAACAAAACTACGTTTGAAGCCTTGAGCGGAAAAAAGTAGCCCATGCTATAAAATGGAGAAAAATGGTATTTCACGGTGTAGGTTATATCATATATATATATATATATATATAAATCAAAGAGCAGACAATACTGAAAACATGCACTGAATGCGCCAAATTACAGGTAAAGTTGCCAGGACATGATAACAAATATTCTAGCACAGGTAAACACGTGTAGCACCTGAAGAGGGCGAAAGGATATCGCAACGGAAAACTGTAGATAGCCATGTTCAAGGAAAATGAAATTATCATATTAACTCTGTGTATTATCATGAGTACTATGATAAAAATCTGGAAATTTGTTACATAGAAAGAGGTTGTGAGCAACAAATAACATAAGTCTATTTACAAAAAACATGATCAAAGTATAACAATACATTTACATTGAAATGATATGATAAAAATTAACAATAAGTCTACACGGAGATAGTATGATAAAAATCTGAATATAAATCAACACGGAGAGATCCTAATCAAAAGCAGACAACAAGTCTGGTGTTGTAGAATGTGCTATCTTGTACAGGGCATTCAAAGTGGTAGCAGCGAGATCAACGGGAAATACAAATTACGAGGAGGGGTGATTTATTTATGTTACATGGAATATTCAAACTATACTCATAACAAGCTAATTGCGATTCATAAAACACGGCATCAAAGTATGATTCAAATTGTTCGCCGCTAAGATGGCAAAATCCTTTAAGAGAAATTTAGCTAAATTCACACTATAGTAAAAAATTATCAAATAGGAAATACGTCTGTAAATTTACGGCTACAATCTAATAGTTAACCGTAAATGTCATGTCATTTTCCTGGAGGTTCGAATTCACGACTCCTTAGGTTAAACAGTACACATGTATGTATACCCTTAATAGAGAGCAACGTCAGTTTAACACAGGTTATACATCATAAATATCTAAATACTACATCTAGTCACAAGGATTTCCTGGTGAGTTCTCCTAACCAGACATGCTCGTTAGAACTAATACCAGAAACAATACTTAACACGTACAAGTTATGTTCCTCTGGACCCGACTTACTTAACACGTAAAAGTTATTTTTCTCTGGACCCGACTTACTTAACACGTAAAAGTTATTTTTCTCTGGACCCGACTTACTTAACACGTAAAAGTTATTTTTCTCTGGACCCGACTTACTTAACACGTAAAAGTTATTTTTCTCTGGACCCGACTTACTTAACACGTAAAAGTTATTTTTCTCTGGACCCGACTTACTTAACACGTAAAAGTTATTTTTCTCTGGACCCGACTTACTTAACACGTAAAAGTTATTTTTCTCTGGACCCGACTTACTTAACACGTAAAAGTTATTTTTCTCTGGACCCGACTTACTTAACACGTAAAAGTTGTGTTCCTCTGGACCCGACTTACTTAACACGTACAAGTTATTTTCCTCTGGACCCGACTTCTCGGTTCACATAAGTTTGTAAATGAAACTGAACAATATAAGAATGTGTAAGGTAAACATGCTCAGTTGGCTGGGGAATTCTTATATACATGACACAAAAATAATAGTAACCTTTCTTAAAAAAGAGTTGCCTCGCTTGGAGCACGTCCTGCATGCTTCTAATTCCTGACTCGACTAGATTATCGACTCAACTTTCCATTCTATCAGTTCCACTTTCTCGACTCGCTGATCAACTGGTTCAAATCTGACAGCGACCTGCTCATAAACGGACTCTCGCATGTGGCATTGATAAATTAAAGAAATAGATATAATTCAGCAGTACAAACATACGACTTTATACACGTTTATCTTATGTACAAATAGCTATGATGTAAACAGACTGGGATAGATTTAAGGTGCCACTCTTATAAGATATCAGTCTTAACTTTTCTGACGATCGGCCGGATATAGATAACAACAAGTTACATATACACTTTAAATAAATATCTACACAATCATGTTATCACTGATACTGAATAAACATAAAAGCGAAGGAAGAGAGGATTCTCAATACAATACGTCAGATATACATGTAGTATGATAAGCATTGATAGACGTTTACTCAGATATAGTGCCATACAATCTGATAGTAAGTGTAAAGGCATCATCATCTTCCGACAGTTAGATCACTTAAAGATAGTATCAAACGCATTTATAATATTGTCTGCTCCCGAAGAAGTCTAATCAACATTTACAATGTATCTATATGAAGATAAGAAGCTTTCAAAGAAATACGCAATAGCATTACGGCGCAAGAACAATAACAAGAGGCCCAATGGTTTGAATAGCTCAACTGCTTGTTTTTGAGTACTTGATCACCGTATCCCGAAATGTAAACACTTCAACTTCTTCATATGGAAGTAAACTTGCATAAGAAAATGCATTTTTATGTAATATAGACATTTTCTGTTATACATTTGTAATTCACCGAAAGGACTGTCATGATTACCTCAGCAAACTATGTTTATTAGAATGTCCCAAGGGTCCTTCCTCCAGATCAAAACGCCCATTAGTCTGCCAAAAGGGGCACATTTTTTACAACGAGTCCCCAATGCCCTTGGGTTCTCAGAAAATTCATCAAGGAGTAGATTTGATAAGAGTTACATGTATTTCTGATACTGAGCCCCACCCATCAGGGAGGCAACACACTCATTTTATACAACGTAATTTATTCCTGTGGCGAAAAGATCCCTTAACCTATACTGAAGGAGTAGGTGTTTAAACATTTATCTATATTTCGCCTATTTGGCCAAGCCCTCTGAGCCCCGAAAGGCAACATTCTCCTTTTCTACAATCCTTGAGTCCTCTTGCCTCTTGACCAAAGACACCCACCCTATTTTATCCTAATTAGTGTTGCAACGTTGATCCCCCCCCAAACCCAGAAATATGTCGTCCAAGAAGGACGTTATTGACATAAAATATACATATAGTTCTTTTAGGCCTGAAGGCATCGACTGTTATCCACTGCTCCAATCAAAATAAGAAAGTGTTCGATGTTTTGATATCAATTATGCAATGGTAATATGACATTGTCATTCCGTTCTTGTTGTAGTTTTTCCATATTGTAAGTTTAGTTTAGATTTTCAGGAAGAAATATCACGCATATAGTCTAAGCTTTGACGTATATACCACTGGTTTATAACACAGATATTCACATTCATGAGTGCACCTAGTATCTCCCTTCATCATGACAATACAATTTACACTGCTGTTGCACAGACAATATCGGTGACATTGTCCAGACTACGGGTAAGAGTTATGCAGCTTAAAACAGGTAATGTCCTCAACATTGCGGATTGACCCGGAGCTTTATGAGGTATAGAAGTCTCTTTCCTCAGCAGGAAGTGCTAAAATAAACCGCATATCCTCAATAGGACAAAATGTTTTAATACCAAAGAGTTTTTTGACATCTTTCCATTTCTTGCATGTTTTGTAGACATCATCTCTTGAAAATGTGATCTGATCGATTCGAGGCATGGGGAAGAACAGTGACATGGACTTGTTAACAGACCCAATGAATATCTGACACGTCTTACAATAAAGTTCTGCAATGCCATGCTCCATGTCCCTATCTACAAATGACGGTTTTCCACGCGGACCAGGACTCAGGGTGTCCTTCATGCCTCTGGCCACGACGGTGTGATGAACCTTAATCTTGCGAAGATCTGACGACAAAAACAACAAACCTCTGCAGTGGTTACATTTCACCTCGTACACAGGGTTGTTCTCCAGTTGCTTTTGTTCATCTAAAACAACCGCGTCTCGTTTCCGCTTCTCTTCTCGCTGCTGGTCCTGCTGCTTTTCGTAGAAGGCCTGCGGGTCTCTAGAAATCTCGTCCTGGACTAAACGTATGGCTTCCGAACTCATGTCCTCTCTTCGCTCGTTTACAAGTTCTTTCTGTGCTGCTTGCCCTGATTCAGATACTATGAGAACGAAGTGGCTATTGTCTCTCCTTATGCGTCCTGAAAGTTGACCAAAAACACAACGATTGACAGGTTTTAATTTTTTATTTATATTAACGTTTTTATCTTATTTTCGGGAAAAAAATGCTCATAAACCGAAGACAAAATAGCTTCAATTTATATTTAGTCTTTACAATTTAAATTAAAGGTTTTACAACGAGTATTTTTAGTCCACTACGTATGGACATCGAGTGTACGGGTAAACTTTGTGGTGCACCAACTGTGCCCCGCTCCGCGTTTACCCGGAAAAACTAGACTATACTTTACCCTTTATGTGTGTACTATTTGTAGATGTTGTTCCCAACATATAAATATCAATATTTAGTGAGTCTTCTTCCAATAAATTAAAAGTATAATTTTACTTCGTTTGCTAACATGCATTTTATACAAACCTCTGTTTTTAATTATTGCATATATATATGAAAAGAAGAAAACAGGGTTTTGGAGTGAAAAAAAAGGGCAGGGAAAAGGTTTAATTCTACCATAGCCATCGATAAATGAATCCTTGAATCTTTTGCTTGTTTTTTTCATTCAAGTTGTTTAATCAAATCTTATTCATTAAACTTCAATTTGTTGTTGTTAACATAAGGATTTTTATGATGTTGTCCTTTAATAAAAAAAATAACACTGTACCATGATTTTATAATTTACACATTAATTTTTTTATGTGTTCTTGACATTCTGATACATTAATGAAATATTTTTACATAAGAGTTATCAACCTTCCCTTTTTGTTCGTAGACTCAAAAATATATTACTATTAGCACTAGATAGCTAATTGTACGTAGTGTGAATGGGTGGTCAAAATAGACTATGCATCTCATAGAACGACGTGTATTACTGGTAAACCACGCCAATAAGAAGGAGTATTAAGGAATTGCATGTCAAGTCAGTTCGAAGTGTTTTCAGATAAACAGGAATCTACTCGAATCCACTAACAATCGAACAGCTGTCTGAATATGCAGTGACCTTCTTCTCGTCTGAACACACTGTAATATAATTTTTATAAATTAATCCCTGCCTACCCCTCGTATGAAAACGCTGTAATATGAATTTACTTGAATATCCATGTCTATCTATTTTTGAACACGCTGCTATATAATTTTGATAGAAGATACATGCCTAATCTCGTCTGAACTCGCTGTGATATGGTTTTGATAGATTATCCATGCCTTCTGCTCGTCTGAAAACGCTGTGATATAATTTTGATAGAAGACCCATGTCTACCTCTCGTTTGAACATGCTGTGATGTAGTTTTTATGGATTGGTCATACCTACTTCTTGTCTGAACAAACTATGATATAATTTTGATAGATGGTCAATGCCTACCTCTCGTCTGAACACGCTGTATTTCGTTGGTAACGTGATCGTAAAGGATGACCAGATTACATCTAGGCACGTCCAATCCCTCCTCTAACACAGAGGTACCAATAACAACCTTGTGATCGCCATTCCGGAACGCCTTCAAGATTGTATCTTGTTCCATCTTGGTTATACCTTCATTAATCAAAACAGAAAAAAAACACTTTAATTTAATAGTAGAAAACAATTTAGCAAGGTTACCTTGACGACTGAAGTTTGATCTAAAACCAATTACACCAATTGTAAATTTATCCTAAGTACTTTTTTGTCCAGTAGCCAGTGATCCTAAAGACATTGGTAAGTTACCAGTCTTTTGTTTACGGCGTTAATCGCTATACTCACACAAGTCAATGTTTCCCCTTTTATCCCATCTTTGTTTTGATGTTAAGTATCAACTTCAGAAGGTCTGGCAACTAATACATTAGTTGTAAGACCTTTAGACTTTGAGGCTAAAATTAAATTATAGATATCATTGAAGGGATATATAGTGTTTATATGTAAAACATCAATTTGTGCAAACGAAGCACAAAAAACGTTCAACCCAAAGTTGAAATATTTTAAGATAAAACTTCTAATGATGTCGTGTTTTCAGACAAAAAACACTACAACAATATTGCAATACGTTGCTAGCCTACTTATACCATATACGAACTTCGCAAATTAATTCAAATTTAAATTTCATTAAAATAATCACCTGTAGCCTGGCAGCAAAAAAAGACAACGATTTCTTTCTTTCTCTTTTAATTTTAATTTTAATTTTATTGGATAGAACTTGGATACAAGGTTTTTTTTCACATTTTTGCAAACTCTATAAAATGTATCTCCGTAAAATTTGGTTTACTCGGCTCGAGAACGATCTTCCCCAAAATTTTACCTTAATCCTGTAGCTGCCATATATTCTGGTACAGTGTTTATGAATTACTTGTTAAAATTATCTGTTACGTCGCAAATTATTCATTTGTGACGCAATACAGGACGTTATGGGTACCTTTCCCCTTAACATGTGTTTCTACATGTTGTTCAGAACACTTTAGATATAAAGCTTTGAATAAAATAATAGGTGGAGACAACAAAATGTCAAAATACTACTTAGACAAAACATCAAAAAGCAATATCGTAATACTTCTAAAAAGAGCAATGTCGTTATACTTCTTAAACAAAACATCCAGAGCAATGTCATAATAAAACTAAGACAAAACATCAAAAAGTAATGTCGTACATTGTAATACTTCTAAAACAATACATCCAGAGCAATGTCGCAATACTACTTAGACAAAACATCAAAAAGTAATGTCGTAATACTTCTAAAACAAAACAACCAGAGCACTTTCGTAATACTACTTATAGAAATCATCAAAAAGTAATGTCGTAATATTTCTAAGACAAAACTTCCAGAGCTATTTCGAAATATCTATAAGACAAAACATTTAGAGCAGCGTCGTAATTCTTTGAAGACAAAACATCCCAAGCAATGCTATGATACTTATAAGACAACATATCCAGACCTATGTCGTAATTCTTCTAAGATAAAACATCCTGAGCAATGTCGTAATATTTCTAATACAAAGAATCAGCAAAGTTGAAATACTTATAGGACAAGACAGGTGAAATCTCTTATTGACGATTTCAGCATTTCAGGCTGCAAACCGTACGGTTAACTAATGATTTGGTCAATAGAGAGCATCATTTCATATTTCCTGGAGAAAGATTCTCTGTGAGAAGCAATCTATTTGGACATGAAAGTTCCGTAAACAGAGAGTGATGTTATTACTTAGATAAGAACAGCTAATGGTCTAGAAAAGGAGGTGGTTATGTTTATAGTGAGAGGTGTCAATATATAAAAAAAACACCTAGATATGTCAAAATGGTCTAACAACGACCAGGTGTAAATGCCTACACGCTGTTTAGGTAGCCATGCTAACACATGGATATAATAAGAAAGCATATGGTTGATTCACTTGAAGAAAATGTTCTATGTGTTATGACCATAAAACACAAGCACTGCAAATAATTTCATTTTTATCATTTCTGTGACATTCCCTGGCCTTCTGCATCCCAATTTCAAGGCCTTCCACATTCAAACAGGCCATAGTACCAGGGTGAGATATTTCATTTGTTAAAATGAAAAAAAAAAATGATATAAGAGAATTGAACATGCATATTGGAGCAAATCATTTTCACCAAAACTAAATGCTGATAATTTACGAGTTTCCCATCCCCATCACTAGTTTGTACTGGTATTGTATTTGTGGTTATTTATCTCCATATTATCAGTTGATAATTCTCAGTAAAAATAATTTGTTAGTAAAAATGTCAATATATTCACATACAAGAACAAATTTAAAGAAAGTCGTTAAAAATATCTCAGCTGCGTTCAATGTAAAAACACACCCGTATCTCGTTATTGCCTAGCATCACTTCAAGAGATTTACCTATTCAAATCCAATTAAAGCAACCTTTTCCTGACCCTTACTTACCCTATTGTTCTCCACAGTCCACAGAGCACCCCTCGGAACTAGACAGTGGAGCCATAATTTGATAATTTGCGATTTTGATATCAGACGGAGTCGTTGTGTTGACAGGTGACCGTTTTGTCAAAACACAAAAGAGTTCCAATACCTGACCTTGTTATACATCGAAAATGCATTCAGTCTTGACATCGAAGTACACAGTGTTGTCGTGGGGCTTACTTTACCAGTAACAATTGCTCTAGAAAAAATTCTCGCTAAAAAAATCTATTGTCGACAGTAACTTAAATAAAAGCCCCTCATCGACATTTTCGCTAAGAGTAGTTTCAAATTGCCAATCATGTTTTACTTTCGCCAATGGAGACAGTGGTGACCACAAGTGGGAGCTCTTGGCGTGAAATGATAAAGAGAAGAGACGTTATTGAAATTTTCTACCTGAACATCTTATTACAACATTTCTATTGGTTTAAAATGAAATTTAACCAATAAAGTCGTTGGTCAGACATAAAATATCTCAATCAATCAATAGCAATATATCATATAACAGGCTACCCCTTCGGGAAACTCAAATGTGCCTGATTCATATTCGGAACATCTTCAGCTTGAAGAATTTTGAATCCAAAAGTTTGTAATTAGCGACAGAAGCAAACACACGAAAGCCCTTCACAGTGTTCGGCAACAGATGTCAAAATCTGGGACTTAAACCGAAATACTAGTCCCCGCCGGGGTTCCCCCAGGGGGGATTAAAGTCATCAATATATTAACGTCTAGTCCTGGACGATGATTTAATGACATAAAAGAAGTCATCAAAATCCTAGTTATTCACAGAGAAATCATCATAAATATACCTGAACTGAAATAACAATCAAGATAAAACACGTGTTTTTCTCCACTTATTTGAATTTTTAAATGAATATAATAAAAAGATAAGCTTGAAATGGTCCAAATAGATCCCCACTAGAATATAGAACTATTTTTCTACAAAATTCCGACAAAATATTGTAGACCACATATTACAAGTTAAATTAGTTGTGTGGTATTCCTCGATTGTAGTGGGATGTATAAGTCTCATCACCAACAGTGGGATATTTAACAGTAAAACTATTAATATTCCGATATTTATATATGTGTTCTATCAGTTTTGAAAATGCTATGTATAACCGTAGAGTACATATCTGAAACAAATAGTCATCAATAGAGTCTTACCTCCGATTCCAACCTTAGCATGTGCACCTACAAAGCGCACCGCTTTTAGAGATTGAAGCTCCGGGCACTCATTCATCCAGGCCTCCATCGATCTGGCAAGCTCTATCGTTTTAACATATATGATGGCTCTAGAATCAGGGTCGTCACGAAATAAAGTACAAATCCGAACCTGGACTTCGTGCAGCTTGGGGTTCTCCTGATCACCGTCATCATGGTTTTCCATCAGCTGCTGCTTCTCTAGAATAGAAGTAAGATAGGGTATCCTCATTACGTTATATCCATTAGTCTGTGTGCGATGTGGGACTTTGCTAGTGTGGACAATTTTGTTTGTGTAGAATGTTTATAAGATTTAGTGAGTACTTTGAGTGTTTAGTTCAACCGTGTAAAAATATGTGTTAAGAGAAGAGCCGTATATTATCTGTTGTATCTTAACGTTGGTTTGTATCGTTATAAAGGATTTAACAGGCACCTTCCCTTGAAGATGTAGTTCTGTGTATGTTTTTGTAACAGTTATATACTTTGATTATTTTGTTGAAAAAAAGTGAAGTAACAATATAAAGAATAGTATCCGCGCATTTTCTCTTTACCTGTTCACTGTATTTCTCTAAACGTTTTTGAACATTTTACAATCTCGATTCTTTCGACTTTAAGTAATCATATTGAGCTCTTCATCAACGAAATGACATCGTTATTTACTTTGATAGGCTTTCCACATAAACTGACACTTTGCATTTCTAAGGATTATTTTTCGTCAAAAGGTGTTTGTCTTCACAGTTTGCCGAAATCTTGCATCATAATTAACTCTCGCGTGGTTTCAAATGGAATGAATTGTTTGAATTCGATGATGACACATGGAAATTGATATATATGATTCCTTTCACAGTAACTAGAAATTCAAAATTACAATGGCTTCAATACAGAATAAATCAACACATTTTTCTAGTTAAAGCAGCTCTTACCGATAGTGCTCTTTGTTTTCAATGTAAGACTGAAATAGAGACAATAATTCACACACTATGGGAATGTGAGAAAGTACAAGCCTTTTTACAAAATTTTGAGTTCCTTTTTGATGCATTGTTAATCCCATTTTGTTTTAACAAGGAAACCTTCATTTTCGGTTTATTTAATCAAAATAGTATCAGTAGTAGGGTAGATAATACCATAATTTTACTTAAACAATATATTTATAAATCGAGATGTCTAATTAATATTGCTTAAACCCTGTCTTTGTCAAAATATGAACATATAACTATCGAATTTTTCTTATATAAACGTGTACTTCTAAATACTTATATGTAAAACTCCTTGATCGTTCCGACACATCTATATAGGTAGCTTCTTTATTTCACAATCTCCACCCCTCCCCCCTCATTTTTTCTTTCTTTCTTTTTCTCTCTCTCTTGGTCTTACTTCCTTTCTATACCTCTAGGACCTGCTCTAACCTCTTTTCTATAACTTTTAAACAATGCTTTTATATAACGGACACAATTTAGCTGTAATTTAATTATACATACATTTATTATTAATTTTACCTGGAAATATAAAGGTTATTATAAATGAATATTTAATGAATGAATCGTAATGTGTGAGAAGAATAATGTTTATGTATGATATATTTGCATTGTTATAGATTTGGTAAAGAAATTTAAAAAAAAAATACACAAAAAAATAACCTCTCGCGTGGTTTACATGAGTTTTAAATGAGTGTTGAATCTTTCTAGCATAGGGGCAACAGACAACAAATTGTACATCGTTTACTAGGTCATCACCGGGATTTTAAGATTCACAGAGTATCATGAACTGAATGAGACACATTTTTGATAATCATTGGTTACATAGGGTAGTCAATACCAGCTTGAGACAGTAATCCTCACTATATAAACATCACACTATCTATTTATAAATGCATTTTTAATAGCAATATATATATTACCCTTACAATAACCGGTTAGTAAAGATATTTGGCGTTACCTTTCTATAACCGGTTATGAAAGACTTTTCGTGTTACCCTTACTTTAACCGGTTAGTAAGAACGTTTGGTGTTACCCTTCCTATAACCGGTTATTGAGAACTTTTCGTGTTACCTACCTATAACCAGTTAGGGGTTATTAAGAACTTTTTTGTGTTACCCTTACAATAACCCTTTAGTACAGATTTTTGGCGTTACCCTTACTATAACCGGTTAGTAAGGACGTTTGGTGTTACCCTTACCATAACCGGTTATTAAAGAGTTTTGGCGTTACCTTCCTATAACCGGTTAGGGTGGACTTTTCGTGTTACCCTTACTATAACCGGTTACTAAGGACGGTGAGTAAGGACGTTTTGTGTATTCCTTCGTATAACCTAAGCTGTTAATAGGACATTAGACAAAATTAAACCAAACTAAACCAAACCCTTCCTGTAACCAGTTCTTAAGTACTTTTGGCGTTATCCCTCCTATAGCCAGTTATTAAGTACTTTTGGCGTTATCCTTCCTATAACCAGTTATTAAAGGGGCATCACGGTGAAGTAACTTTTTTGTGTCAACACAACACAACATAAACATATCAAGTGAGACTCCTAATGGAAAATAACAATCGGATTTGGATGAAAAATATTCATAAAAATGATTAAATCTAAGATAATCATCCCTTTTTCTACCTGTCTGACCAACGTTTTGTTCAGGGATTTCCCTCTACTAGCGCATGCGCATAGCACACCATTTATTTGTAAACAAAATGACTTGCCGTGTGAAGTAAGCGAAAGAAAAGTGTTGTACCTTGTCAGCTACGAAGCGAAAAGTTGCCAAATTGTCAAAAGATAGAGCAAGGAGTACGTTACTGAATCATTATTGCAGGTGGGAGGTATTGAAAGGAGAAAATTACTGCCCTAGCAGTTAGTACGGTGCAGGTATTCTTCCGGATAGCCGGTTAAGCTAAAATCGAATCGACAGAAATGCTAGCGCTGTGTATGTTATGAATACATATCTAAAACTATTAACCTCGCTAGTATCTTTGTCTGAGTTTGAACACAGATGAACTTAGTTTAATATGTTAATGGGCATGTATCGGAGAGAGTTTACCTTGTGTTTCTATAATTATACAGTGGTTTATGCGAAAGGAAGGGATAAGTGACTGGTTAGTTTGATTTTGCCATGAGGTCCTCAAAGGGATAACTGTTGTGATGGCCACGGCGTATTCTGTTTTCTCCTCCGTCGGTACTCGGGGTCAAATGAGATACGTTACATAATTTGTAATATTACTGGGTTCAGTAAAATGGTAGGATTTAACTATATTGCTGAATTAAACGATTATTTTTGTTTTTACATGCAAGACTATATTAGTACTTTTATATAAAAACCCGGCCTCCTCTGGCGCGACGACGCGATGTATAAAAAAATCGCTCTTCGTCAGAAAGCTGTACGTTACCTATCGCAGCTAGGTTAAAAATGTCAAAATGACGGACCAGGATGAATAACTTAGGAAGGAGAACCTATATATATATATAGCTACTTCTAGTAAATAGGATCGCATAACATTTTTCTTTTTTAAATCGTAATTTTTCAACAGTTCATGCTTTCATATGATGTTGACTTAGCATGTATGATCATGTAACAACCTTTTCTCTATAAAGGATTAATTTTCGACTTCAGATAGAATCGGAATACGTATTGAAAACAGGGGAAAAAACATTTGTTTACGTTGTAAAAATGACGCGAGCTGCCGTTAACTACGGCTTCTGTTTCGGACAAAAATGAAATGATTAAAGAAAAGTTGTCTCAACATAAAAAAGGGTCCATTTACAAAAATGCTTTAATCTATGTAAAGTATTGGAAAAATATAATTATCAAGTATCTCAACACGTTCCATATTTGACACATATTCTAAATGTACACGTAGTGGTTTTGCCATACAGTTTATTATGTGTGATTGCTAATATGACTTACTAAGTGTTAGCGTATGGAGACAGTGAAAGTGGGAAAGAGAGTGTACATAAATTTATATGCATGGTATAGAAAAAAATTGGCCAAAAACATTGAGTTGTATAATGTAATAAAAAAAATCTCAAACGTTTCTCTTTTTTATACCGTGTAGTTTGTCATTGCATATATGCACTTTATGAAAACATTTGAAAAGGGATATTCGTCTCGTGAATATTCCTTTTTACAGAAAGGTTTGTCCCATGGTTGAGGGAAGGTGTTTAGCCCAGTACCATCTGAACCGGTCACATTCCGGTTCTAAATTCAATATATATTTATATATATATACTTTATGTTTATGCCTATTATCATTGTTGACATTTAATTGTAAATGTATGACGGGAGAAGGCTGTGATAAATTGTAAAAACTTGTGCCCCATCTCTTGTTCGATTTTAATGGTAACAAATATGTTTAAAGCTAAATAAATTTAAATTCTGAATATTGGCAAGTATGCAATTAACTTCTGATGATGAATAATTACTGTTCAATAAGTTTGAATACGGACTTATAAATCATATTACTTGGTTTCATAGTGCGGTAAGAAGTTACAGGCCCCTTTGGAAACCGTTTCCTGCCTAGTCAGGTGAGGTTATCAGCGCTATTTTTAGCAGGGCTTTCCCGAACAATTCAAGTGGTCAAACTGGACATTTGGAACGGACTATGAATATGGGGATAACGAGGTAACATAAGTGGGAGTGCATACAATACATACATTCAATAAAAAAAATATGGCTCTTCACGTGATGTCCCTTTAAGTACTTTTGGCGTTATCCCTCCTATAACCAGTTATTAAGTACTTTTGGCGTTATCCATATAGGCCTCATATAACCAGTTATTAAGTACTTTTGGCGTTATCCCTCCTATAACCAGTTATTAAGCACTTTTGGCGTTATCCCTCCCATAACCAGTTATTTTTAAAAGTACTTTTGGCGTTATCCCTCCTATAACCAGTTAGTGAGGCCTATGATCACTTACCGTAGTGACAGCCACCTATACGTTTATAGTATACATCTAAGCCCCATGCTTACCTTGAAACAGACCATACATCTCACGATCAGCCTCTACAGCCGTCTCCTCGAAATACATCTCATCTAACTCCTCCTTGAGATACCGGACTGCGTCACTGACACGTGCATCCTGGTATATTAGGAGGGCGCGATGGTACACCTGTAAATTAACAGTAAAACTGACAAGTGGGACTCCATGTCAATTGGTGAAACCATTAATGACCCAAAATAAAAACCATCCACAAAATTACTGTCACATTACACGTATGGGTCGATAGCTATTGTCCCTGGCTTTTTTTTTATCATATCAGATCAATTACTACAATCTGAAATAGGTTTTTGATAAATCAGTCGTTCTCTTCTACACATATATACTAGAGTTGAGTCTTCCTTTCAATATTAATGGTGATATTTTGACACAACATACATGTGCATCGGCAACTGTCAAATATACTGTTGTTTATTGTAGGTAGTTTAATGTTTGCTAGTTACGAAATGTAGAATTGTATATGGATAAAATAATGAGTGATTACTTTCATTTTAAAACAAATTCTATTCAATTATTTGATTTGAGTGTGTATGTGCAATCTTTAATCTGTTTATTCTGTAGGTGTTGACTTAGAACTACTTTTCCATTTCATGAATTATTCGAGCGTAGAGATTATTTTACCTTTCATTAGTTACAGAACTCAATCATCATCAAGAATTTGTCCAATGATCGTTATCGAGATGAATTAAAGAGATCTCTCTCTCTCTCTCGTTGCCACCTTTTTCAATCGTCAAAGTGCAGGCACCATTTTCAAACGTTTTAACTTACAAAAACTCTGCTGGAGTTGATCACAATTGTCGGTAATGACATTAAACGTCACACGTGGTATTCGATACACTTACAGGACATATTTCCTATAGGCATTGCCTTTTTTATATTGAGTATATATGGGTATATATATTACTATGTCATTACTCAGATATCTTGACTATTTTATCTTCGTTTTTATGCATGTTTGACTTTTGTGAATCTTTGCTTTTTTCTAATTATATATATAATTGACCGAGAACATACTGCAGGTCTAATCAAATAGTTTTTGATCTCTGGATTGTTATTATTTAAGTGAAGCTACTGGAAACAACTATATAACACTTCATCTGTATTCGGAACTAAACGGACTAAATGTGAACGAACTTGGGTAAGGCTTCATGGGTGGAACCCCTCCTTTTACAGAATAAGTGTTAGAGTGACGACCCACACAATATCTACATTCTATAACTGCTCAAAAATCATTCGTAAAACAGGGACAGAACTGACCTCTAAGTAGTCGGCATATATCTTCAGGCTCCTGTGAAGGTCGTTGTCCACGGTACTTAAGCTTGTCACCTGTTTTCTCAGCGTACTACACCATTGCGTGTACTGAGCGCCACTCCGCAATGTAGGAGGTCGTTTTAGCTCGCCTATACATTCACAACGAGAAACCAAGCTTAAGTATTGTCTTCGCGTATTTTGTACTTTTATTTTTGTGCGGTCTGGTTAGTGGAGATTGTGAGCTTGTGTTGTAAAAATTGTGTGTTCCGAGTCTGATTGGCTGAGATTACCTGTGAATACGGTAAGTAAATGTCCATCACTCTGATTGGCTGAGATTACCTGTGAATACGGTAAGTAAATGTCCTACACTCTGATTGGCTGAGATGGACCTCACGTACTGTTATTGTCCAATGGTCTGACTGACTGAGTTTGACTATGTTTATAATGAATGTACATGTCATGCGACCGGATTTGCAAAGGTTTTGTGTGATTACTGTAAAGACACGGGGATTGATTGGTTGAAATGGACTGTACTGTAATTTGTGAGCTACTTGAACGCTGAGTGTGGAAATGTGTATACTCATTGTAAGAGTCTAGGCTCCTTATTGGCTAAGGTTGACAGTGTTTACAGTAAGGGTTGTTTGAGTTGTGTTTGTATTGAGCCGTCTGATTGGCTAAAATGACAGTAAAATTAATATTGTGAGATCCAACCGCTGGGATTGGTTGTTTGTATTATTTACTGTAGCTGTTTTCCTGTCTACTTGACTTGGATCGATAGCGTATTATGGAAGAAGTGTGCAGTCTGAAATTGATTGTATGTGAGAGAAGTGTGGTCTAGTTTACTCTAACAGACTTTGTATAATGTAATTGACATGCAGTTTTATCAGCAAAAATGTATGTGAAATCTTTATTTTGAAGTTAGCATTAGTCGCATTATGTTACAGCATATTTGCCATCTGGTTATACAAGATTAACCTGACAAGAGATTAAAACAAGAAAGGGTAGGAATGTTTCGAGACAGTATCAACAAGGAATAAAAACAATGTCAAAAAACCCGAGAGAATACCGAAGGGTCACTAAAACAAAAATTTTGACTCAAAATCGATACTAGGGTAAAATATGAATGGAAAAAAAGAGAAAAAATGTATATTGAGATCATTGAAAAAGTACAAGGTGATATGACCAGGTGTTCCGGAAGGGTGAGCGTCTTTTGCTTCATCGACGACATCGCAATGTAAATTAAGGTCAAATCGTAGTAAGCCGTCCCTGTTGGTTATGTTATTAAAGCTCGAGTGTGTACATATGATGCGGTCAATAAGTTTCTTGTTTTTCAAAGACAGCCCGTCGTTGATATATGAGATTTTTGTTGTATTTTCAAAATTGTTTTAAAATGAGCAATGGTTCATTTTGTATTTCATTTGCTTCATCAAGAAACATTGCTAGATTGTTTCTAGATGCGTATAGTTAGTTTAACTGTAATAAAGTCTGGTTTTACAACTGGCTACAAGCATCGTAATTACTGTAAATGTCATGCAGTCTGATTGGCTGTACTGCGTTGTGCGGTTTGGTTGGCTGAACAGGTAGAGCTGAGAGAAAGTACAGTTTATCAAGCCATAGGTTTAAAAGTCACCTACAAGTATAAAGCCGATCGTTTGTAGTGATATAAAAGTGACCTGTTGATCTATAGTTGGACACGTTACAATGTCATGTTTTAAAACCATTCTCAATTCTCTTTTGAAACGTTATTATGTGTTATATTTTTGTGTGTAAATAAATATAGAGCGTGTAACACTAGTACATTGTTTTATAAAAGTTCCGTAATACTTTGTGTTGTCCCTAGTATTTTGTTTTATAAACGTTCCGTAATACTTTGTGTTGTCCCTAGTATTTTGTTTTATAAACGTTCCGTAATACTTTGTGTTGTCCCTAGTATTTTGTTTTATAAACGTTCCGTAATACTTTGTGTTGTCCCTAGTATTTTGTTTTATAAACGTTCCGTAATACTTTGTGTTGTCCCTAGTATTTTGTTTTATAAACGTTCCGTAATACTTTGTGTTGTCCCTAGTATTTTGTTTTATAAACGTTCCGTAATACTTTGTGTTGTCCCTAGTATTTTGTTTTATAAACGTTCCGTAATACTTTGTGTTGTCCCTAGTATTTTGTTTTATAAACGTTCCGTAATACTTTGTGTTGTCCCTAGTATTTTGTTTTATAAACGTTCCGTAATACTTTGTGTTGTCCCTAGTATTTTGTTTTATAAACGTTCCGTAATACTTTGTGTTGTCCCTAGTATTTTGTTTTATAAACGTTCCGTAATACTTTGTGTTGTCCCTAGTATTTTGTTTTATAAACGTTCCGTAATACTTTGTGTTGTCCCTAGTATTTTGTTTTATAAACGTTCCGTAATACTTTGTGTTGTCCCTAGTATTTTGTTTTATAAACGTTCCGTAATACTTTGTGTTGTCCCTAGTATTTTGTTTTATAAACGTTCCGTAATACTTTGTGTTGTCCCTAGTATTTTGTTTTATAAACGTTCCGTAATACTTTGTGTTGTCCCTAGTATTTTGTTTTATAAACGTTCCGTAATACTTTGTGTTGTCCCTAGTATTTTGTTTTATAAACGTTCCGTAATACTTTGTGTTGTCCCTAGTATTTTGTTTTATAAACGTTCCGTAATACTTTGTGTTGTCCCTAGTATTTTGTTTTATAAACGTTCCGTAATACTTTGTGTTGTCCCTAGTATTTTGTTTTATAAACGTTCCGTAATACTTTGTGTTGTCCCTAGTATTTTGTTTTATAAACGTTCCGTAATACTTTGTGTTGTCCCTAGTATTTTGTTTTATAAACGTTCCGTAATACTTTGTGTTGTCCCTAGTATTTTGTTTTATAAACGTTCCGTAATACTTTGTGTTGTCCCTAGTATTTTGTTTTATAAACGTTCCGTAATACTTTGTGTTGTCCCTAGTATTTTGTTTTATAAACGTTCCGTAATACTTTGTGTTGTCCCTAGTATTTTGTTTTATAAACGTTCCGTAATACTTTGTGTTGTCCCTAGTGTTTTGTTTTATAAAAGTTCCGTAATACTTTGTGTTGTCCCTAGTGTTTTGTTTTATAAACGTTCCGTAATACTTTGTGTTGTCCCTAGTGTTTTGTTTTATAAACGTTCCGTAATACTTTGTGTTGTCCCTAGTGTTTTGTTTTATAAACGTTCCGTAATACTTTGTGTTGTCCCTAGTGTTTTGTTTTATAAACGTTCCGTAATACTTTGTGTTGTCCCTAGTGTTTTGTTTTATAAACGTTCCGTAATACTTTGTGTTGTCCCTAGTGTTTTGTTTTATAAACGTTCCGTAATACTTTGTGTTGTCCCTAGTGTTTTGTTTTATAAACGTTCCGTAATACTTTGTGTTGTCCCTAGTGTTTTGTTTTATAAACGTTCCGTAATACTTTGTGTTGTCCCTAGTGTTTTGTTTTATAAAAGTTCCGTAATACTTTGTGTTGTCCCTAGTATTTTGTTTTATAAACGTTCCGTAATACTTTGTGTTGTCCCTTGTATTTTGTTTTATAAACGTCCCGTAATACTTTGTATTGTCACTAGTACTTTGTTTTATAAACGTTCCGTAATACTTTGTGTTGTCCCTAGTGTTTTGTTTTATAAAAGTTCCGTAATACTTTGTGTTGTCCCTAGTGTTTTGTTTTATAAACGTTCCATAATACTTTGTGTTATCCCTAGTGTTTTGTTTTATAAACGTTCCGTAATACTTTGTGTTGTCCCTAGTATTTTGTTTTATAAACGTTCCGGAATACTTTGTATTGTCACTAGTACTTTGTTTTATAAACGTTCCGTAATACTTTGTGTTGTCCCTAGTACTTTGTTTTTTAAACGTTCCATAATACTTTGTGTTGTCCCTAGTATTTTGTTTTATGAAAGTTCCGTAATACTTTGTGTTGTCCCTAGTACTTTGTTTTATAACCGTTCCGTAATACTTTATGTTGTCCCTAGTACTTTGGTTTATAAAAGTTCCGAAATACTTTGTGTTGTACCTAGTGTTTTGTTTTATAAACTTTCCGTAATACTTTGATTTGTCCCTAGTGTTTTGCTTTATAAAAGTTCCGAAATACTTTGTGTTGTTCCTAGTGGTTTGTTTTATAAACGTTCAGTAATACTTTGTGTTGTACCTAGTGTTTTGTTTTATTAAAGTTCCGTAATACTTTATGTTGTCCCTAGTACTATGTTTTATAAAAGTTTCGTAATACTTTGTGTTGTACCTAGTGTTTTGTTTTATAAAAGGTCCGTAATACTTTGTGTTGTACCTAGTGTTTTGTTTAATAAACGTTCCGTAATCCTTTGTGTTGTCCCTTGTATTTTGTTTTATAAACTTTCCGTAATACTTTGTGTTGTTCCTAGTGGTTTGTTTTATAAACGTTTCGTAATACTTTGTGTTGTACCTAGTGTTTTGTTTAATAAACGTTCCGTAATACTTTGATTTGTCCCTAGTGTTTTGCTTTATAAAAGTTCCGAAATACTTTGTGTTGTACCTAGTGTTTTGTTTTATTAACGTTCCGTAATACTTGGTGTTGTCCCTAGTGGTTTGTTTTATAAACGTTTCGTAATACTTTGTGTTGTACCTAGTGTTTTGTTTTATAAACGTTCCGTAATACTTTGTGTTGTCCCTAGTGTTTTGTTTAATAAACGTTCCGTATTACTTTGTGTTGTTCCTAGTGTTTTGTTTTATAAACGTTCCGTAATACTTTGTGTTGTCCCTAGTACTTTGTTTTATAAAAGTTCCGTAATACTTTGTGTTGTCCCTAGTATTTTGTTTTATAAAAGTTCCGTAATACTTTGTGTTGTCCCTAGTATTTTGTTTTATAAAAGTTCCGTAATACTTTGTGTTGTCCCTAGTACTTTGTTTTATAAACGTTCCGTAATACTTTGTGTTGTCCCTATTGTTTTGTTTTATAAACGTTCCGTAATACTTTGTGTTGTCCCTATAACTTTGTTTTATAAACGTTCCGTAATACTTTGTGTTGTCCCTAGTGTTTTGTTTTATTAAAGTTCCGTAATACTTTGTGTTGTTCCTATAACTTTGTTTTATAAACGTTCCGTAATACGTTGTGTTGTCCCTAGTATTTTGTTTTATAAAAGTTCCGTAATACTTTGTGTTGTCCCTAGTTTTTTTAAATACTTTGTTTTGTATGAAGTATGTATTGAGTTCAGTACAAAGAACATGGGCAAGGCATTGCTGACCTTTTGACTTAAGACTTGATTTTAAACTTCGGTTTTTAATTCTTTTCCAACAACACGTGGAATATCTTATCAATTATAAAGATGCTTTGCTATCAACGACATCATTCAACTGTGATGTCATTAGGGGGCCTCTGACAAAGTTTAACCTTGTTTTAATTCACCATGTGACCATTCCCTGTAATCATTAAATATCACTTATTATTGTCAAATTTAAGAATTATAGAGTAAATAACGTCACATTCGTTCGTTGTCCTTAATAACATTTGTGTTAAGGGCATCACGACCAGGAACTATATATTTACCCTCCAAGCGGTTTATAGTCCCTTCTATGGTCGCCATCATATCGTTGACAAGGTTGCCAAACGACTTGTTACGTCGCTCTTTTGTCTCTATAATCTCTGTAAATCAATGAGGACAGATAAAGCTATGTTATTGTATAAAATTAAGAGGTTACTGTACATGTGTTTTATAAAACCGTGAGGTTTGGCTTCGCTGCCGAAAAGAAATCTTGCATGTTTTGAAGATTCTTACTATAAGAAAATAATCGGTACAGCACACACCCCGTGTGATCCCAGATAAAGTTATTTAAAGTGTAAAATCATTGTAATAAGGCTTATTGGGCTTATCACCGATGATATACAGTAGTATATGTTTGGTAGCAGTTATATCTCGACATTGCATATCGTTTTTTCAACGCCAACATAACTCTTACTGGTTGTGTGTAGATCAAACTGTCTATTTAAGTAATTACACTTCACCCATCGTATCAGTTACACTGACTATCCTTACCCGTATCTGTTGCACCGACTATCCTTACCCGTATCTGTTACACGGACTATTCTTACCTGTATCTGTTACACTGACTATCCTTACCTGTATCTGTCACACTGATTATCCTTACCTGTATCTGTAACACTGACTATCCTTACCTGCATCTGTTACACTGATTATCCTTACTCGTATCTGTTACACTGACTATCCTGTATCTGTTACACTGACTATCCTGTATCTGTTACACTGACTATCCTCACCTGTATCTGTTACACTGATTATCCTTAGCCGTATCTTTTACACTGGTTATCCTTACCCGTATCTGTTACACGGACTATTCATACCTGTATCTGTTACACTGACTATCGTTACCCATATCTGTAACACTGACTATCCTTGCCTGCATCTGTTACACAGATTATCCTTAGCCGTATCTTTTACACTGATGATCCTTACCCGTATCTGTTACACTGACTATCCTTACCCGTATCTGTTACACTGATTATCCTTACTCGTATCTGTTACACTGACTATCGTTACCCGTATCTGTAACACTGACTATCCTTACCTGCATCTGTTACACAGATTATCCTTAGCCGTATCTTTTACACTGATTATCCTTACCCGTATCTGTTACACTGGTTATCCTTACCCGTATCTGTTACACTGACTATCCTTACCTGTATCTGTTACACTGACTTTCCTTACCTGTATCTGTTTCACTAACTATCCTTACCTGTATCTGTTACACTGATTATCCTTAGCCGTATCTTTACACTGATTATCCTTATCTGTATCTGTAACACTGACTATCCTTACCTGCATCTGTTACACTGATTATCCTTAGCCGTATCTTTTACACTGATTATCCTTACCCGTATCTGTTACACTGGTTATCCTTACCCGTATCTGTTACACTGACTATCCTTACCTGTATCTGTTACACTGACTATCCTTACCCGTATCTGGTACACTGATAATCTTTACCTGTATCTGTTACACTGACTATCCTTACCTGTATCTGTTACACTGACTATCCTTACCCGTATCTGTTACACGGATTATCCTTACCTGTATCTGTTACACTGATTATCCTTACCTGTATCTGTTACACTGACTATCCTTACCTGTATCTGTTACACTGACTATCCTTATCCGTATCTGTTACACGGATTATCCTTACCCGTATCTGTTACACTGACTATCCTTACCCGTATATGTAACACTGGTTATCCTTACCTGTATATGTTACACTGACTATCCTTACCTGTATCTGTTACACTGACTATCCTTATCCGTATCTGTTACACTGATTATCCTTACCCGTATATGTAACACTGGTTATCCTTACCTGTATCTGTTACACTGACTATCCTTACCTGTATCTGTTACACTGACAATCCTTAACCTTATATGTTACACTGATTATCCTTTTCCGTATCTGTTACATTGAATATCATTACCCGTATATGTTACACTGACTATCCTTACCCGTATCTGTTACTCTGACGATCCTTATCCGTATCTGTTCCAATAACTGTCCTTACCTGTATCTATTACACTGACTATCTTTACCCGAATCTGTTATACTGACTATCCTTACCTCTATCTGTTACACTGACTATCCTTACCTGTATCTGTTACAATAACTATCCTTACCTGTATATGTTACACTGACTATCCTTATCCGTATCTGTTACAATAACTGTCCTTACCTGTATCTGTTACACTGACTATCTTAACCTGTATCTGTTACACTGAATATCCTTACCCGTATATGTAACACTGATTATCCTTACCCGTATATGTTACACTGACTATCCTTACCCGTATCTGTTACTCTGACTATCCTTAGCCGTATCTTTTACACTGACTATCTTTACCCGTATCTGTTATACTGACTATCCTTACCCGTATCTGTTACACTGACTATCCTTACCCGTATCTGTTACACTGACTATCCTTACACGTATTTGTTACACTGACTATCCTTACCCGTATCTGTGTTATTGATATTTTCTTCTAGCTCCTTGATGTTTTCCTTTACAGTCACCAGTTTTTGAGAGTCCATGTTGGCCATAATGTTTTTGACCCATGTGTTAGCCGATGACTGAGAGTTAGCCTGACCTGATCCTAGTGAAGCTGTCATTCCCAAAATCTAAAAAAACCAAATCAGTAGGGATCAAGCATGCGATCACTTCCCTAAATTACATTTGTTTTTTCCTCTATTCTTAAATTTATTATCTGTTTACCAAAATTTATACTTGAATTGTATCGGTTAACATGCATATGAATTTAATTTACATTTTACTAGAGGTGTAAATAAATGCATACCTCACAATACGATACGTATTGCGATCGGAAACTTTAGATACGATACATATATATCTGTTTAACATCTGTATACACTGTATTTGTTTACGCTATTTCTGAATACACTGTATTTTTATACATTATACTTGTATACGCTATACCTGTATACACTTTATTTGTTTACACTGTATTTGTATACACTATATCTGTATACACTATATCTGTATACACTATATCTATATACACTATACTTGTATACACTATATCTATATACACTATATCTGTATATCACTTTATCTGTATACACTATGTTTGTATACACCATATCTGTATACACTGTATTTATATACACTATATTTATATACACTATACCTGTATACGCGATATCTGTATAAACTGTATTTGTATACACCATATCTGTATACAATGTATTTGTATACACTATATCTATATACACTATACTTGTATACGCTATATCTGTATACACTATACTTGTATACACTATATCTGTATACACTATACTTGTATACGCTTTATCTGGATACGTTATTTAAGGATTAACTTGAATATATTTTATGTTATGGAGATATAACACAAAAAAACCGGAGTGTACTTTAAATAAACCGCGAAGCGGTTTATTATTAGAGTACTCTCCGTTTTTTGTGTGTTATAGCTCCATAACATGTAAAATATATTCAAGTTAATCCTTATAATCTAATCTACTATACACAATCCCTGTGAAAATCCACTTTTATTGATGGACTCTTTTCTTTGATAAATTATTGCGCTGCTGTATTAGCCAATCAAATGCGAGTTTTCATTTCATACGAGATTTTATACAAGAAATACGCGTAATTATGTGTCGCCTGTCCCGCTTTGTCAATATAATAAGCATTTGACATAGTACATAACGAAACGGACCTAAATGCAAAATCATATACATTGGGATTTTTTTAAAGTCCAGAAAGGGCCGGTTTCCAAAACGGCCCCTTCTCTGATTCAAATTTCCTGTTGGTGGTGCATTGCCCATGCCGTTGTGGTCACAAATCTATAAAGTATAAAGATTTAGGTCACTTGGTTTGTTTTTTATGGCTCCTCAAAGTTGTACCTTTCAGAAGCTGTCTAAGTGTTGATAAAATGTGCATGTTATGTAAAATATTAATGAAAATCTAATCAAATGATGGTCACCGTAAAGAATACATTCATGGCATGATTGTGACAAAAAATCATGTTTCCATCGCGCCATTTGGCTGTTTTATGGAAGAAACAATCTCAAAAATGCCATTTTCGATGATAACATTTTAGACACAAAAACTGTGTTTTTTAGAGAATACACCCTTTTATGGGCGTTGGATGCAAACCAATTTTTATCCTATTAAACAGTACGTAATATGCTATTGATGAGAGGAAAAATCATCAAAATGTAAGTGGTGGAACATTTTCAAATGTTGGGTTGAATTAGCCTATGGTTGAATTGCCGATTTTCGACTTTCTTTAGATAATTAACAAAAAAACGAGAGTATTTGCTCGGTATGTTGAGAATATGTACACAGATATGAAAAAAAGTGAGAGAAACACTTTTTCATAAAAAAAATCCAAGATGGCTACTTCACAAGTCCCCGTGGTTGAAGACATTGGCTGACAAATAGACAGAACAACAAACAAAACGTGTTCCTTATGATTTTGGTTGGTTTTCGCATTTACGGGAGTGTTCATAGCTACGGGCGATTGTATAATACCTATATTTATAAGTTTGGTTAGTCACATGGTAACGGGGATCTTTCATATCGAGCCCCAAACATACTTTCGACATATGCACTCCGTTGCCGCATGGAAAACTATTTCAAGTTTTGTCGGAATTTCTTTACCTGTGGTTGTAATGGTCGAGGGTTTTCCAGCGTCCTGTAATACCCAAGGTAGTACAAGATACTGGAGATGTGCGCACACATTCCCATCGTTCTCTCTCCAACTGGGCACTGGCAGTAGTAGTCCTTTATTGGGGCCTCAACATCGGGTGAAACGGTGAACCGTATCCAAACGTTATATTTCGTTTGGCTTTTGTGTCGAGAATGTATTTGACATCGGAGAAGGTCTGGGGAGTGCTGGTAAAGCCACACCTCATAGTCTCCGTCATCACTTAAATGTTCGGCGATGTAACCAGGAGCCAGAGATATCTGATACGTTCCACACGTAATGGTTCTCAAGTAATCAAGATCGAGACGGGGAAACAGTACGGAAGATGCATCCATCTTGACAAACTCGGACCTTGCCCGTCTAGATAGATCCGGATCTGTCTTGACTCTCTGAGCTAAACCATTCGGTGTTGTCAAACGGTCCTTCATACGTTCAGCCATTAGCCTATCTTTGGCATCTCTCTCTGGAGATCTCTGGTAGATCGGTCCTCTAATACCATTCAGACAGGCTGTGACGGTTCGAAGCAAAGCCTCGATGACATTGATAAAGCTGTTAGACACCAATTGCGTTCGGAAGAACGTCCAGTGTTTCAGACGACCATGATAGGATTCCACAATCCACCTCGATTTGGTGATAGTTCTGTCAAGATTTGCTTGGACGTCAGAATGTTGACTTTGACCGGGTTTCAGGTATGACGGCATGCTAGCATTGAGGCCAGAGGCTTCGAGAACTGGTAGGACATCTCTAAAACCTCGGTCAACGACAACGTTGTCGTCTGGTTGTAGCCAAGTAACTAGCTTGTCCATGACTTTTTTTGTAATTGTAGCATCATTTTCGCTGCCAGTGAATGGTCCTACTGTGTCCAGAATGTAGCCATCTGGTAAGGCGATGCTCATGAATTTGAGATAGTTTCTCTTCTTCTGGCCACAGTAGGACATTCTCTGGAGCTTGTGGTCGGAGCTTTTCTGGATATAAATATAGGTGCCATCTAATATGGCAGTGGCTTTATCTCCAAAAAATGCTTCTGAAAAGACAGTATTGTGCCCGAGCAACTGTTCTCTTGTCAAGTGATCCGGACCTAGAAATTGTGGGACTATCGATGTGTCTAATGCCTGTACTATGGAGTGGAAAGTTTTGGACACACTTGACTTGGAAATTCCAAAAAGAGAAGAACACTGACTCCAGGAAATGTCGGTTTTCAGTTTTACCCAGAACAGTAATAGAGCATCGTGTGTAGTCTTGGTATATATACCAGATGAAAGATATGGGGAACAGTGCGAGTGGATTTCGAGGAACTGATCTTTGGACCAACCTGTCCAGGCCATGCATGCCGAGTCATCAAGAGAAGAAAAGCTTATTGTAAACGCAGACTGGTTCTGTGAAAGGACGTGCGACACCTCTAGGAGGTCATTAATGATTTCGGACGATTTTGATGGTAACTGAGATTCCAAGGAACCTCTACCATCAAGGACAACCTCTGTAGACGGATCTAAGTCGTTACCAATAAGGTGAATGGAGCAGACGCGGGATGAGGTGGGACACCACAGTTTGTGTGAATAGATCAGGTGATGTCTTGCACGTTTTGGTAAGACTGATGATTTTGTTCCATTTCTTGCAAAGGTAACAAGACAGAGACAGCATTTTTTGTGTGAAGATGATCCATTCAAAAGATCATGAAGGGTCAGCAACGGCAGGATATGGGACGGGGAGTCGTCTTCTTCCTCTATTTCCTGGTTCTGCTCGGGTTCAGGTTCAGGCTGATTTTTGTTCCGAAGATACTTCATGTAGCACTTCTGGCAAATAAGTGCTTGTTCCTTTGCTGACATCAATCCTTGTTGCACCAGCGTATCTAGGAGCCATTTATATTGTGGACTATTTACATTGCGTGCACTTCTGTTCTTATTGCCACTACGTTTCTTGAAGTATACTTGACACCCTTCTCCAACACATTTACCCTCCATCTTGAAACAATAACGATTGGTTTATGAAGCGTCGATAAAGTAACAAAATAGCAAGCCACCGATGATTGCTGTAAACAGCTAATACTTAGTAGTTTGGTACAATTATGCGAAAATGTGTGATAAATAACGAACAACTAATTACACAAAATAACAAGACAATATAATAAATCACATTCAATACCTCCAAGAAGCGCAGAATTGATTGATTACTTAGAACAAAATAAAGTATTTCATATGGATAATCTATCTATTCGATGTGGCGTGGTCGGCAGGCACAAAGAAAGTGAGACAAGTCAGGGTCCCAACCCTGACAGAGCCACAACGCTTTGGAGATGGGACAATAAAACAAGGAAAGTGAGACAAGAATAGCTAGCGTCGAGTCAATGATTCCGTAAACGTATAGACAAAGACAAGAAGATACGGATAAATGTACAAGGCCACACGATCAGAAAATTCAGAAGAGGACAACTTGAGATAGAACAGTATTCATGTATCAGGGTGTCCTCAGTGTAAATCTTTATATCGATACTGTTTATTTAGTCGTTACACATCATAAAACTGTCATGAAAATATCCGCTCTGATATTCAATATAAAAGTTTGTATATAATAAGCTATATAANATGTTTTATGAATAAATACGATGTTTTGGAAATATTTATCAAATGATAAATGCTGAAATTGACAACTTTATAAAAATACATTTTCACTGAAATTATGAAATCTGGGTGTCGGAAAGGAGTAAAATTATTCTTCGGAAAAGAAAAAAACAGTAGTGGAGCTAGATAAGAAATTATACGGGGGCAGGCTCCTATGGAGAATTAACATTACTGGAAGCAGGCCCTTTCAGGTTCTTCTACCCATGATACATGTATGATTGAGGTTTGGTTGGTGTAGCTCTTATACTTTGTCAGAAAGAGCCTAATATGCAAGAGCTAAACGCAAAACCTTAACCAGAAACCGTTGAAATGCTAGTAAAGAGTGTAATGCATTCAGCTATACATCACATGATACACCTATGACCCAAGTTTGGATGCTCTAGCATTTATACTTTGTTAGAAACAGCCTAATATGTAAGAGCTAAACGCAAGACCTTAACTTTGAGTTTTTTTCTAAGTCCAGAAATTTGAGGCTTTTAGCCAAAACATGCAGAAATCAATGAAATGTTTTTAGTGCAGTAGGCTCCACTACCCATGCTTCATCTATGATCGAGGTTTTGTTGGTGTGGCTTTGTCAGAAACAGAGCTAAACGCAAAACCTTAACATTGTTGACGCCGCCGTCGCCGTCGGAAAAGCAACGCCTATGTGTCTTTCCGACATCCGTCGTAGGCGACACAAAAACGAGTCTTAGGAGTTTTTATTTTTGCGAACCTTGGCGAGCAAAAATTAAAACTTCGAGACGAGTTTCATGAAAGCTCATATGAAATGAAAACAATTTAAGATACTTTTTATCACATAACTCAGAAAACTTACATTTTGACAGGTTTTAAAGCCAAAATGTAGAGGGCTTAATCAAACGGAGACAGCTATTTTGTTGCGCCATTCACAATTGATGACGTCACATCATTGTCCATATTATGACGTCACAATCGATTTCTGACTGGCATAGCCAATGAAAAACGCTCCAGGGAATATTACACTAGTGACATATATAAAAAATATTACACGGGCAAATTCTCTGGATAACAGGTCGATCATGTGACACGCTATATCTGTATACACTATACCTGTATATGCTATACCTGTATACACTGTATTTGTATACGCTACATCTGTATTTACTTGATTTGTTTACGCTAAACCTGTATACACTATATTTGTAAACACTTTATATGTATACACTTTATTTGTAAACACTTTATGTGTATACACTTTATTTGTAAACACTTTATATGTATACACTTTATTTGTAAACACTTTATATGTATACACTTTATTTGTTTACACTTTACTGCTATACAGTATGTTTTTATACACTATTTGATATACAATGATACACCTTGTGTGTTGACCGTACCTGCGGAAGACGAACATATGCACTTGTAAACTTCTCGTCCCAGTAGATTCGCATCACTGCGTTGTAAGGTGTATCCTCGTACGTTCTGTGACACTCATCGAACACAATGAGAGAAAACGTTTGCAGGGTAACATCTTCTTTTGCCAACAGACAGTTAACAAGTATCTGCGGCGTAGCCACAATCACATCGTGACTGAAAGAAACATCATAGACTAATATCACTGTATCAGATACACAGCATCGCCTTCTCAAAAAGATTAATCAGTTTGGTATGAATAATAAAGGCTTAACTTGTTATGAACACAAACAGGAATTGAAAACTTATTTTTCGAGATTTCGAAAACGTTTATTTCCTTTATCAAGCAAAGATTGCAAATGACCGGTGTGTCGACTCTAAACCGCTGAAAAAAGGCCGCTTACGTTTATCGCGATCCAAACGGTTGAACCGGATAGACCGGGGTTGTTCGTTTATGAAATAAGGTCGGACCTGGAATTTGAAGCTGCTTTCATGCACTTGCAAGGCCTTCATACACATTTGAAGGTCTGCCAGGGTTAATTCCCGAACATTTTACATTTAAAAACGAACAGGCCCAAACTCAGTCACAGTGTGCCGAATCAGTTATGTCAGCTTTCAAAAATCATCGGGACATTTCGCCCGATTGTACTTATAATCAGGGGATCACTTCTATACTATCTATGACTTATTCGCATACATTATTTCTCGTGAGCACTTACTTTTTCAGGTGAACTGACATGTCAATATATTTTTCTCTTGCTTGGCTTTCCCCCGTCATCACCTTGACCGGACATTTTAACAGTTCGTGACACCTATCCCGCTGTTGTGTTGCCAAAGCCGAGGTCGGCACCAGGAATATCACCTTACCCTGACCTCTCCTCAGGTGGTGCTGTAATGGAAAATTAGTATTTCTCTGTTCAATACTTCAGAAACATGGCAAAAGATCTTATTGTCCCATTATCAGTTTTTAGTAACAGTTAATATTGACTAAAAAGATTTACATATTTGACTCATTTGACCTTGAAAATAGATTAAGGTCATTCATTTGAACAAATTTGGTGGCCCGTGATCCTATCATGCCATTGGCAAACTATCATCACCCTTGGTTATTTAGAATGAGGTTTAAAGTGAACAGTTGACGCCGGATGATAGTACATGTTTATCAAAGTGGTTCCTGACTCAGTTGTTATGAAGAAAGGATGTTGACACTCATGTAATACAAGTTAAATGAGATTGTTAATGTGTTTAATATCTAATATAATTTCCAGCCTTAGAAAAACAAAATTGGTGTGCTAAAGACATTTAATTTCTATTCTTTTATCATCCAAATATGCGCCAATTCCTGAGGAATACCGGAATTAAAGGTAAAGGTAGTGCACTCTCACCATCGGATCACGGCATGAGATGTAAAGACCTTCATCTAGGATTTCAACACTTATTGTGAAAAAGGACGACATAATGGAAACGATCCAGCCTAATGAACATACCTTTATGTTAAGGAAAGGGTTTGAGAACGATTTTTTGACATTTTTGCATGCCTTCTGCATAAAACTCATCCCTTTAGACATGCACAATATACTGTAGCCGTCCTACTGCGGGGTGAAGTCATGCCATTGTTTAGTCTGGACATGTACAATACATTCTCGATCGGGTACTCATATAAAATCAAAGAGGTTTTTAAACATATCGCTATTTTGTGCCTTATTCCCGAATGGATCTGTAAGTTAACCTATGTGACATCCCAAAGTGAGGTACTCGCAGCGAAATACAGTACATAAATACAAGCAAGTGAACTCTTTGAACCAAGAGATAGCTAGTTACTACATGTGCAGGAAGGTGGACGTCACTTGACCAGCCTCTCCTCTACTCAAATTAACTTACACCCAAACCGATAATTGTGCCCGGGCATTGAAAACACTCCAAACAGCTATTCATGACGATCCCCAGTCGAAGGCAGCATTTGTTATCGACTCGACTGGATAGTCTATTTTAGATCAAAAATGAAGAAAGGGAAATCATGGCCTTTGGTCTTCAGGGTGCGGATCTGAGTGTTCTGCAACGCGTGAAGTAAACATTATATCTTTTTCGCTTTGTAAGGAAAAACAGCAGTGATTAAAACATGTATTAAAACATAGTATTTGAGCATGGGATGTAGTGGTCTAATGGTTACACACTTCTACTCGTCACACAAATAATGGTAACATTCTTAATCTGTTATAGGTCTGTTTTGATTTATAAGTCTTTTCTTAACAGAGTTGACCTCCATAGAACTACGATCTATACAGATGTAGAACATGAGCGGAGTTGACCTCCATAGATCTACGATCTATACAGATCTAGAACATGATCGGAGTTGAACCCCATAGAACTACAATCTATACAGATGTAGACCATGATCGGAGTTGACCCCCAGAGAACTATGATCTATACAGATGTAGACCACGATCGGAGTTGACCCCCAGAGAACTACGATCTATACAGAGGTAGAACATGATCGGAGCTGACCTCCATAGAACTACGGTCTATACAGATGTAGAACATGATCGGGGTTGACCCCCATAGAACTTCGATCTATTCAGATGTAGAACATGATCAGAGTTGACCTCCATAGATCTACGATCTATACAGAGGTAGAACATGATCGGAGTTGTCCCCCATAAAAATACGATCTATAAAGATGTAGAACACGACCGGAGTTGAACCCTACAAAAATACGATCTACACAGAGGTAGAAAATAGGGGGGGACGCTGTTTTACCTGCATGATCCTGATGGCCACGTGCGTCTTACCACTGGTAGTTGGATCAATGACTATAGAGTTATGTCACTCTAATCCGGGTTTGGCCAGCTCTTCCTGATATCTAGTGGGATAACAAACATCACTCAGCTATTCAACATCAATACCACTTACAAACATCACTCATCTCTTTAATATCAATAGCACTTACAAACATCACTCAGTATTTAACATCAATAACACTTACAAACATCTCTCAGTATTTAACATCAATAACATTAATAAACATTACTCAATATTTAATATGAATAACTAATGGTTACACACTTATACTCGTCACACAAATAATGGTAACATTCTTAATCTGTTATAGGTCTGTTTTGATTTATAAGGCTTTTCTTAACAGAGTTGACCTCCATAGAACTACGGTCTATACAGATGTAGAACCCGATCGGAGTTGACCTCCATAGAACTACGGTCTATACAGATGTAGAACCCGATCGGAGTTGACCTCCATAGAACTACGGTCTATACAGATGTAGAACCCGATCGGAGTTGACCTCCATAGATCTACGATCTATACAGAGGTAGAACATGATCGGAGTTGACCTCCATAGAACTACGATCTATACAGATGTAGAACACGACCGGAGTTGAACCCTACAAAAATACGATCTACACAGAGGTAGAAAATATGATTGGACGCTGTTTTACCTGCATGATCCTGATGGCCACGTGCGTCTTGCCACTGTTAGTTGGAGCAATGACTATAGAGTTATGTCCCTCTAATCCGGGTTTGGCCAGCTCTTCCTGATATCTAGTGGGATAACAAACATCACTCAGCTATTTAACATGAATAACAATTACAAACATCACTCAGCTATTTAACATGAATAACAATTACAAATATCACTCAGTTATTTAAAATGAATAACACTTACAAACATCACACAGTATTTCACATGAATAATATTTACAAACATCACTCAGTATTTCACAAATAACAATTATAAACATCACTCAGTATTTAACATCAATAACATTAATAAACATTACTCAATATTTAATATGAATAACATTTACAAACATCACTCAGTATTTAATATGAATAACACTTACAAACATCACTCAGTATTTCACATAACACTTATAAACATCACTCAGCTATTTAACATCAATAACACTTACAAACATCACTCAGTATTTCACATGAATAACACTTATTAACATCACTCAGTATTTCACATGAATAACATTTACAAACATCACTCAATATTTAATATGAATAACACTTACAAACATCACCCAGTATTTCACATAACACTATAAACATCACTCAGCTATTTAACATCAATAACACTTACAAACATCACTCAGTATTTCACATGAATAACACTTACAAACATCACTCAGTATTTCACATGAATAACGCTTATAAACATCACTCAGCTATTTCACATGAATGACAATTACAAACATCACTCAGTATTTCACATGAATAACACTTACAAACATCACTCAGTATTTCACATCAATAACACTTACAAACATTAGTCAGTTTTTCACATGAATAACACTTACAAACATCACTCAGTATTTAACATCAATAACCCTTACAAACATCACTCAGCTATTCAACATCAATAACACTTACAAACATCACTCAGTATTTCACATCAATAACACTTACAAACATCACTCAGCTATTAAACATCAATAACACTTACAAACATCACTCAGTATTTAACATGAATAACACTTATAAACATCACTCAGTATTTCACATGAATAACAATTACAAACATCACTCAGTATTTCACATGAATAACACTTACAAACATCAGTCAGCTATTTAATATGAATAACACTTACAAACATCACTCAGCTATTTAATATCAATAACACTTACAAACATCACTCAGTATTTAACATCAATAACACTTACAAACATCACTCAGTATTTCACATGAATAACACTTACAAACATCACTCAATATTTCACATGAATAACACAAACATCAGTCAGTATTTCACATGAATAACAATTACAAACATCAGTCAGTATTTCACATGAATAACACTTACAAACATCACTCAGCTATTTAACATGAATAACACTTACAAACATCACTCAGCTACTGCATAGCAGTTATATTTCGCGGGTTTTTTATTTTCGCTATATTCGCGTTTCGACTACAATTCGCAAATTATAAACATTAGTGAAATATTTAGCACATCACTGACGTTTTTAAGAAGTGTCACAGTATCGTATCATTACATGGTGAAAATATAACTCAACAACGTTACATAAAATTATGTAAATAGACAGTGGGACAGTGTATACACAATGCAAAATTTACACACACATTGACAAGCTGTGTACCTGTTTCAAAACGGATTTACCCTGAAATGATTATACTCAAAATACATTGCACAGCAAACTGGAATAATGCTGGCTCAAAATTATATTCATATATAAGTGATCTGCGAAATATTGGAAGCGGGTGTACAGCGAAATTTAACCCCCGCGAATATGTTCCGTAAACGAAAACGCGAAATATTGACCCCGCGAATTTAAAGCGTTCAACAGTATTTCCCATGAATTACACTTACAAACATCGATCATTCAGCTATTTAACATGAATAACACTTACAAACATCTATCAGCTATTCAACTTGAATAATCACCCCTGCAGGTCAAGGGTCTAGAAAAGAATATACCTGCTGTTACCCACTGCATGATTCGTAAGAGGCGACTAATGTCACAAATCACAAAGTGGTTACCATACCTCCCTCCGTTGGGGAGAAGAACCGAAATTCACGTACCTGTATAGTGATAGGTCTGATCCAATGGTCTCACTAGAATCCTGTACCGCGATACTGGGTGGTACGGAAGCCACTGGTTCTAAAAATACAAATATACATATACACGTGTATCGGTCTAGAGTGTGAGACCTGGTGGCAATAATATATATATAAAGTAGATAATAAATATATAAGTCCTTCCGAAGGAAAATTTGGAATAAAAACATATATATTTCAGATCGTCCGCTAGGCCTTTCTGCCTCCTATGGCTTCTTCAGGCGGATTATATATATATTTATAATACTCTAGAGGAGGGGTGTGGTGTGGAAGGATGTCGGTCACTACTTTACAAGCTACACTAAGGTACAATTTACTTATTAACTATCTTTCAACACGACAGGTTTGCAGTTTTAATTACACATGTGCTTACCTGACTGATCATTGCTTGCCATAGGAGATGACTCTGCACATGTTCCAGATAACTCGTCATGCTCTGTTGGTTGTCTAGCTGTCTGCTGGACCTGTTTCAATTTTGTCAATGCTTCTTCACCAGCGGAATCCTTAGCCGTAGAATTAAGGTTTTCTTCTTTTTTGGTGTCATTGGTATCGTGCGTGTGATCACGTTGGTGATTTGGTGACAAATTCAAACCTTTTAGATCAGTCATGGCTTCCCCATCATCTTAAACGTAAGATCATACATACAAAATGTAACAATTAATGTAATGACACAATCTTACAAGTTTAAACTTACAAAGTAAACACATGCTGACTAATACCAATTCACCCTGTATCAATCCCAACCGTCCACCATCAATGACACCTAAGTTACACAGCTGAGCATCAAGTGGCATAGAACGTGTATCGATCAGTAGAGTGAGAGGCAGTAATTAGATATATCTATAAACGTGTATCTGCCTAGAGTGTGAGAAGCAGTAATTATATATATATCTATACACATGTATCAACCTAGAGTGTGAGAGGCAGTAGTTAGATATATCTATAAACGTGTATCTGCCTAGAGTGTGAGAAGCAGTAGTTAGATATATCTATGCACATGTATCGGCCAAGAGTGTGAGAAGCAGTAGTTAGATATATCTATACACATGTATCGGCATAGAGTGTGAGAAGTAGTAGTTAGATATATCTATAAACATGTATCTGCCTCGAGTGTGAGAAGCAGTAGTTAGATATATCTATGCACATGTATCGGCCAAGAGTGTGAGAAGCAGTAGTTAGATATATATCTATAAACGTGTATCGGCCTAGAGTGTGAGAAGCAGTAGTTATATATATATCTATAAACGTGTATCGGCCTAGAGTGTGAGAAGCAGTAATTATATATATATCTATACACATGTATCAACCTAGAGTGTGAGAAGCAGTAGTTAGATATATCTATAAACGTGTATCTGCCTAGAGTGTGAGAAGCAGTAGTTAGATATATCTATACACATGTATCGGCCTAGAGTGTGAGAAGCAGTAGTTAGATATATCTATAAACATGTATCTGCCTAGAGTGTGAGAAGCAGTAGTTAGATATATCTATAAACATGTATCTGTATCGGCCTAGAGTGTGAGAAGTATTAATTAGATATATCTATGAACGTGTATCTGCCTAGAGTGTGAGAAGCAGTAATTAGATATATTGTTGTGAAAATGCACTGGTAAAGTGGCCGAGCCGACTTCTCTGTATGCTCGGTGAGCAGGTCAACTCGCCCGAAGGTGATGAGGTGCCGTGCGTGACAATATCGAGTGTAGTCTAGATCTACACTTGGTGAAGCCGCTATACGGACGTATTTCGCGTACTGTTGGTCTGATCGTAGATTGCACTTGCCGTTGCAGGCTAACCTTATACTTAACATTCATATCACTTGTAGCTTCTTACTACAATTGGTGTCAGAATTAAACATCATTTATAGCTGTAAATATCTCCGTTCGCGTTAACATACACACCGAACGGTAACTATTTATAACCACATTGTTATAGCCCGGGACCGTTGTGTTGTGAGTGAGATATATAGCTTTGTGCCGGTTTTGAACGGGGTGTTATTTAAACATGCCACTCAATATCAACGCAGCAACTTATGAGGAACTGGTTGGCATTAATGGAATAGGTCCTAACAGGGCTCAGGCCATTATTTAAAAGCGGGACGAGTGTGACAATACGTTAACATGGGCAGATTTGAAGACTTCAAGCCTAGTACCTAGTACGATGTGGGACCCGCTGATAAATAAGGGATTAGTGTCCCTTGAGCCGGTGGCTTCTGGGGGCCAGGTTTGGCAGGAAGGTGGGTTGATAGTGGGGCTTTACAACATGCCCGCAGCATGGCTGAAGAGATTGCTTTTGAGAGGAGGCTCAGGAAAAGCGATTTAGGATAAGGGAGGATGAATTAGCGAGAAGGGAAATCAAAATGCAAAGGCATATAGATGAAATGCGGGAGGAGTTTTCCCGTCAGCTTAGGGAAAAGGATGAGCAAATTCGGATAGCTCTATTGAAGCCAGAGACAAAACCTGGCATTGGGCATTTATTGGATACAGTGGAGGGACTAGCCCCGAAGTCTATATACATTCAGAAGGCTAAATCAGGACAAGGGGCTAAAGGTCAAAATTATTTTAAGGGTCAGGGTTCCGGAAGTGGGGACAGAAGCGATGGTGTGAGGGATAAATTAGACAGGAAGGTTAAGCTCCTGACATATGACGGTAGGACTGAATGGAAACCATTTTTTGTTCAGATCTCTCACATTGGTGACCGATATGGCTGGTCAAATAGACAAAGGCTGGGTAAGCTCATTGAGAGCCTCCGTGACAAGGCCTTAACGTTTTTCAGTTCCCGGCCGTTGCATATACGCGACGATTATATTGTCCTTTGCTCTGAACTTAGCAAACGGTTTGGGAAACAAGATCTTTCCCACATTGTCAGACGTGAGTTGGCAGAGTTACGTCAAAGTTCAGAGGAAACTGTTGAGGAATATGCCGACAGAGTTCATGAGCTGGCTTCTGACGGTTTTTCCTGGGGCATAGGAAGACTTTGTACAAATCATGGCCGTTGACAGCCTCCTGAAAGGCCTGCTTGATAAGCGGGTGGCCCTTGCAGTTCTAGACAAGGCCCCTAGCACACTTGATAACGCGCTAGCATTAGTAAAGGGTGTTATAATCAACCAAAAACTCATATATGGGTCTACTAAGCAGTTCAATACCTGTAAATGGTATGACAGTGACAATACTTCGTATGGGTTTAAGGAAATATTCCTTTACTCTGAAAACGATTTGCGACAGAGGAAGACTCTGTTACTTCCGGTCAAGCTTCACGGTAAAGAATATCAAGCCGTTGTAGACACTGCTGCTCAGGTCTCTGTAATAAACTCATTGAACCTGGGACCCAATTTTTCTAGGGGAATCTGTTTGCGTGGGGTGGGGAAATACTCAAGGATCTGCGGCCGTATTTTGGACAAAACAGTCATTGAGGGTTAGGTTCCCTTCGTGACAGAATGTCTGTAGTGGTTGCTGATATCTCGGACCAGATGATCCTAGGACTCGATTTCTTTGACACACACAGGGCAATAATCAATCTGTCGCTGTATACTGTGGCGTTAGAGGGAAAAACCTATCCTGCGGTGTGCCATCAAGATCCGAATGAAGGCAAAACCCAAGTTTTCGATGAAAGAATAAGGGATAGAACTGTAGTGCCCCCGGCATCCTTTAAATCTGCACAGGCTGAATTAGTAGACGGTCCAAAGGGACATCAATTGGAAGTTCAGCCATACAGGGACACAAAGGGCCTTCTTGTTCCCGCCGCTTTACGGAAATACAGTGACAACATGTCCCTCAAACTATGTAACCCTACCGATACATGCATTACCTCAAACAACGGTTGTACCTTAGGGAGTGTTGTGGAGGTCAAGCATGTAACTGAGGAGGATAAGACGGCGCCTTCGTCACCGAAGGTTAGGGAAGTTCAACTGGAACAGGACGGATCATTGAATGACCGGCTGCAGAAGGCAAGATCAGCACGTCCTGCGTCCTTGATTGATCTATTTAATCGTTCGGCAAGAAAGTTGTCTCCAGATCAGGCATTAAAGGTTGCCGAACTTTGACCTGGAACTGTTTCGAGGGGATATCCAGCACCGGATAGAAACCGGTGAATCGAAGCCTATGATATATTTATAGATATATATTATATATATATAAACGTGTATCGGCCAGTAGAGTGAAAAGCAGTAGTTAGATATATCTATAAACGGGTATCTCAATAGAGTGTGAGAAGCAGTAATTAGATATATCTATAAACGTGTATCTCAATAGAGTGTGAGAAGCAGCAATTAGAAATATCTATAAACGTGTATCGGCCTAGAGTGTGAGAAGCAGTAGTTAGATATATCTATAAACGTGTATCTGCCTAGAGTGTGAGAAGCAGCAATTAGAAATATCTATAAACATGTATCGGCCGAGAGAGGGAAAAGCCTTAATAAGATATATCAATAAACATGTATCGGCCTAGAGTGTGAGAAGCAGTAATTAGATAGATCTATAAACGTGTATCTGCCTAGAGTGTGAGAAGCAGTAGTTAGATATATCTATAACCGGGTATCTGCCTAGAGTGTGAGAAGCAGTAATTAGATATATCTATAAACACACGTGTATCGGCCTAGAGTGTGAGAAGCAGTAATGAGATTTATTTATAAACATGTATCGGCCTAGAGTGTGAGAAGCAGTAGTTAGAAATATCTATAAACGGGTATCTGCCTAGAGTGTGAGAAGCAGTAATTAGATATATATATAAACGTGTATCTCAATAGAGTGTGAAAAGCAGCAATTAGGAATATCTATAAACATGTATCGGCCGAGAGAGGGAGAAGCCTTAATAAGATATATCAATAAACATGTATCGGCCTAGAGTGTGAGAAGCAGTAGTTAGAAATATCTATAAACGGGTATCTGCCTAGAGTGTGAGAAGCAGTAATTAGATATATCTATAAACGTGTATCGGCAGAGAGTGTGAGAAGCAGTAGTTAGATATATCTATAAATGGGTATCTGCCTAGAGTGTGAGAAGCAGTAATTAGATATATCTATAAACGGGTATCTGCCTAGAGTGCGAGAAGCAGTAATTAGATATATCTATAAACGTGTATCTCAATAGAGTGTTAGAAGCAGCAATTAGAAATATCTATAAACGTGTATCGGCCTAGAGTGTGAGAAGCAGTAATTAGATAGATCTATAAACGTGTATCTGCCTAGAGTGTGAGAAGCAGTAATTAGATATATATATAAACGTGTATCTCAATAGAGTGTGAAAAGCAGCAATTAGGAATATCTATAAACATGTATCGGCCGAGAGAGGGAGAAGCCTTAATAAGATATATCAATAAACATGTATCGGCCTAGAGTGTGAGAAGCAGTAGTTAGATATATCTATAAACGTGTATCGGCCGAGAGTGTGAGAAGCAGTAGTTAGATATATCTATACACGTGTATCGGCCCAGAGAGTGAGAAGCAGTGGTTAGATATATCTATAGACGTGTATCGGCCTAGAGTGTGAGAAGCAGTGGTTAGATATATCTATAGACGTGTATCGGCCTAGAGTGTGAGAAGCAGTAATGAGATTTATTTATAAACATGTATCGGCCTAGAGTGTGAGAAGCAGTAATTAGATATATCTATAAACACACGTGTATCGGCCTAGAGTGTGAGAAGCAGTGGTTAGATATATCTATACACGTGTATCGGCCTAGAGAGTGAGAAGCAGTGGTTAGATATATCTATAAACGTGTATCGGCCTAGAGTGTGAGAAGCAGTAGTTAGATATATCTATACACGTGTATCGGCCTAGAGAGAGAGAAGCAGAGGTTAGATATATCTATAAACGTGTATCGGCCTAGAGTGTGAGAAGCAGTAGTTAGATATATCTATAAACGTGTATCGGCCTAAATGCGAGAAGCAGTAATTAGATAGATCTATAAACGTGCATCTGCCTAGAGTGTGAAAAGCAGTAGTTAGATATATCTATAAACGTGTATCTCAATAGAGTGTGAGAAGCAGTAATTATATATATCTATAAACGTGTATCTGCCTAGAGTGTGAGAAACAGTAATTATATATATCTATAAACATGTATCTGCCTAAAGTGTGAGAAGCAGTAATTAGATACATCTATAAACGTGTATCAGCCTAGAGTATGAGAAACAGTAATTATATATATATAACGTGTATCGGCCTAGAGTGTGAGAAACATTAATTATATATATCTATAAACATGTATCGGCCTAAAGTGTGAGAAGCAGTAGTTAGATATATTTATAAACTTGTATCAAATAAGTTGTGAAACTTACGAAATAAGTTGAAGTCTGAGATTGTTTTGATATAAGACTAATATTGACAATATTGTAATGTATTAGGCTAAAGCTCATGCCATGCAAACGTCAATTAATTGAGCTACTGATGACAAAAAAAGGTAAATATATCAGGCTTATGTTGAAATAATACCATTTATATCGGGCAAAGTCTGTGAGAATAGTGATTAACTTAAGACTGACAAAATGAGTTGTTTATTGGTTCAATGCTAATAATACAAGTGCAAGGATCTGTTGGAATCAATGGTACCTGACTGATAGTTTTCCATTGTCGATGAACCAGGTGGTTCTCCTCTCTGATATATAACTTCTTCATTCCGAATCGTCCACTCTGTTTAAATCAGCAATAATATATCTATAATTCCGAATCGTCCACTCTACTTAAATCAGCAATAAATATATCTATAATTCCGAATCGTCTACAGAATGTCTGTAGTGGTTGCTGATATCCCGGACCAGATGATCCTAGGACTCGATTGCTGTGAAAAGCAGCAATTAGGAATATCTATAAACATGTATCGGCCGAGAGAGGGAGAAACCTTAATAAGATATATCAATAAACATGTATCGGCCTAGAGTGGGAGAAGCAGTAGTTAGATATATCTATACACATGTATCGGCCTAGAGTGTGAGAAGCAGGAGTTAGATATATCTATAAACATGTATCGGCCGAGAGGGGGAGAAACCTTAATAAGATATATCAATAAACATGTATCGGCCTAGAGTGTGAGAAGCTGTAATGAGATTTATTTATAAACATGTATCGGCCTAGAGGGTGAGAAGCAGTAATTAGATATATCTATAAACATGTATCGGCCTAGAGTGTGAGAAGCAGTAATTTGATATATCTATAAACGTGTATCTGCCTAGAGTGTGAAAAGCAGTAGTTAAGATATATCTATAAACGTGTATCGGCCTAGAGTGTGAGAAGCAGTAATTAGATATATCTATAAACGTGTATCTGCCTAGAGTGTGAGAAGCAGGAATTAGAAATATCTATAAACATGTATCTGCCTAGAGTATGAGAAACAGTAATTATATATATCTATAAACATGTATCTGCCTAAAGTGTGAGAAGCAGTAATTAGATAATCTATAAACGTGTATCAGCCTAGAGTATGAGAAACAGTAATTATATATATATAACGTGTATCGGCCTAGAGTGTGAGAAACATTAATTATATATATCTATAAACATGTATCGGCCTAAAGTGTGAGAAGCAGTAGTTAGATATATTTATAAACTTGTATCAAATAAGTTGTGAAACTTACGAAATAAGTTGAAGTCTGAGATTGTTTTGATATAAGACTAATATTGACAATATTGTAATGTAATAGGCTAAAGCTCATGCCATGCAAACGTCAATTAACTGAGCTACTGATGACAAAAAAAGGTAAATATATCAGGCTAATGTTGAAATAATACCATTTATATCGGGCAAAGTCTGTGAGAATAGTGATTATCTTAAGACTGGCAAAATGAGTTGTTTATTGGTTCAATGCTAATAATACAAGTGCAAGGATCTGTTGGAATCAATGGTACCTGACTGATAGTTTTCCATTGTCGACGAACCAGGTGGTTCTCCTCTCTGATATATAACTTCTTCATTCCGAATCGTCCACTCTGTTTAAATCAGCAATAATATATCTATAATTCCGAATCGTCCACTCTACTTAAATCAGCAATAAATATATCTATAATTCCGAATCGTCTACAGAATGTCTGTAGTGGTTGCTGATATCCCGGACCAGATGATCCTAGGACTCGATTTCTTTGACACACACAGGGCAATAATCAATCTGTCGGCATATATTGTGGAGTTACATGGTAAATCCTATCCTGCGGTGTGCCATCAAGATCCGAATGAAGGCGAAAGCTCAAGTTTTCAATGTGAGAATAAGGGGTAGAACTGTAGTGCCCCCGACATCCTTTAACTCTGCACAGGCTGAATTAGTAGACGGTCCAAAGGGACATCAATTGGAAGTTCAGCCATACAGGGACACAAAGGGCCTTCTTGTTCCCGCCCCTTTACGGAAAGACAGTGACAACATGTCCCTCAAACTATGTAACCCTACCGATACATGCATTACCTCAAACAACGGTTGTACCTTAGGGACTGTTGTGGAGGTCAAGCATGTAACTTAGGAGGATAAGACGGCGCCTTCGTCACCGAAGGTTAGGGAAGTTCACCTGGAACAGGACGGATCATTGAATGACCGGCTGCAGAAGGCAAGATCAGCACGTCCTGCGTCCTTGATTGATCTATTTGATCGTTCGGCAAGAAAGTTGTCTCCAGATCAGGCATTAAGGGTTGCCGAACTTTGACCTGGAACTGTTTCGAGGGGATATCCAGCACCGGATAGAAACCGGTGAATCGAAGCATTAGATAAATTTATATATATATATTATATATATATAAACGTGTATCTCAATAGAGTGTGAGAAGCAGTAGTTAGATACATAATGTATATCTATAAACGTGTATCTCAATAGAGTGTGAGAAGCAGCAATTAGAAATATCTATAAACATGTATCTGCCTAGATTATGGGAAACAGTAATTATATATATATAACGTGTATCGGCCTAGAGTGTGAGAAACTTTAATTATATATATCTATAAACGGGTATCTGCCTAGAGTATGAGAAGCAGTAATTAGAAATATCTATAAATTCCGAATCGTCTACTCTGTTTAAATCAGCATTAATATATCTATAATTCCTAATCGTCCACTCTGTTTAGATCAGCAATAATATATCTATAATTGCGAATCGTCCACTCTGTTTAAATCATCAATAATATATCTATAATTCTGAATCGTCCACTCTGTTTAGATCAGCAATAATATATCGATAATTCCGAATCGTCCATTCTGTGTAATTAGATATATCTATAAACATGTATCTGCCTAGATTATGGGAAACAGTAATTATATATATATAACGTGTATCGGCCTAGAGTGTTAGAAGCAGGAATTAGAAATATCTATAAATTCCGAATCGTCTACTCTGTTTAAATCAGCAATAATACATCTATAATTCCGTATCATCCACTCTGTTTAAATCAGCAATGATATGGTTCAATGCTAATAATACAAGTGCAAGGATTTGTTGGAATCAATGGTACCTGACTGATAGTTTTCCATTGTCGATGAATCAGGTGGTTCTCCTCTCTGATATATAACTTCTTCATTCCGAATCGCCCACTCTGTTTAAATCAGCAATAATATATCTATAATTCCGTATCATCCACTCTGTTTAAATCAGCAATAATATATCTATAATTCCGAATCGTCCATTCTGTTTAAATCAGCAATGATATATCTATGATTCCCAATCGTCCACTCTATTTAAATCAGCAATAAATATATCTATAATTCCGAATCGTCCACTCTGTTTAAATTGTTTGAATACATATATATTATAAAGACTAATATTGACAATATTGTAATGTAATAGGCTAAAGATCATACGTATAGACTATATTGATACCCCATTTCAGTATATATAGACAGAAATGATATCATTCCCTAGGTCACATTAGCCAATTATCCCCTACAGTAGATATAGACAGATATGATCCCATTCCCTAGGCCACATTAGCCAATTATTCCCTACAGTAGATATAGACAGAAAGGATATCATTCCCTAGGTCACATTAGCCAATTATTCCCTGCAGTAGATAGAACAATGAGAGAGTCATTTAATATTCTCAGTAAACAATCTTCTATGTTAAGTTCCAAATACTCTGCTGTTAAATGCCATACCTTACACACTGTACTTCTGTAGCTTGTTTACCTTGTACATAGATAATAACTTGTGTTCACTTACTCTTCATGAAGTCTGGGTCAATTTTCTCAGCCAAGTGACCGAAGTCGTTTTCAGCAAGAGACTGTAGAAACATGTCATACCAATTTGACTTCTTTCGGTAAATACGATCTAGTAAAAGCGCTGATGCAGCCAGCATTCCATGATTGCGATGTTCGGCTTCGATATTCTCATCATCCTCGCGACTCAACACGCCCTTCTGTATCAGTGAAGGAAGAATATCTAGCGGTTTCATGATCTTTTGCAGTGGCAACATAAATATCTCTATGATTCTCTTGTTGCGGTCTCTGTCAATCAGATCCATCTTTCCCTCTAGAATCATTGAGAGAGTTCCATAACCTGGAACAATGACACACAAAATATATGATATAATGGTATAATGGTATACCTGGTATAATATAATACCAGGTGACGTCATAACCGCTAACCGTGCTGGTATAATATAATACCAGGTGACGTCATAACCGTTAACCGTGCTGGTATAATATAATAACAGGTGACGTCATAACTGCTAATCGTGCTGGAATATTATAATACCAGGTGACATCATAACCGCTAACCGTGCTGGTATAATATAATACCAGGTGACGTCATAACCGCTATCTGTGCTTGTATCATATAATACATGTTGTCGCATAGACGTGTCACTTTCCCTTTGATCTAGCTATGGTATAACCAACTTATTTTACACAGTTTTACTAATACCATATGGTATAAGTGAGGCTCCTTACCTATACTGAATACAATAGAATTCTCCATTCTCATTGGTCAGCCAATGAAAGTGTACAGTGTCCAATTAGTGAATGTTAATAGGATATCGACACCGTGGGAAATAAATAAAAATACAAATACAGGAAGTTCAAACACATTTTATTCAGCAACATTGTTGCAAAAATTCAACAAATTTCGCCTTTACAGACAAGTTCCACGGTCGATCTTTTTTCCGTTTTGTAAGTAAAAGTCTTAGCATAAACTGGTACCAGTCGGTCTTGTAATTAAAAGACACGTGGCAATTGTGAAACACATTTCTGGACATATTAGAAATACAGCAAATGGAACATGGTCCTTTTCTGTATGCATGTTAATATTCACATTAGTAGGCTTAATATCTGAGTTACCATTTTTACATGTAGCGCCCTCAATTTTTACCATTTTCTCCTTCGGAGGGTCCAATAATTTGCTCACTTCTAACAGCGGTGCAGCACACAGTCTCTTAAAGCTTGAACTGCTGTGCTCCTGTGACCAGTTCGGGACATTATCAACTGTTCAAATGTTCTCTTAAAATTGTTACGTGACACTTTATGCGACAAGTCGGTTACATCATGGGCCTCGCAATATGTCAGTTATCGTACTCGAGGGGCGGAGCTTACATCTCTCGCGCTGCGCGCTCGAGAAGTAGCTCCGCCCCTCTCGTACAATAACTAACATATTGCTCGGTTCCTATGATATAACCAATACGTAACATAACCGTGCTTACATAAAAGTAATAGAGTCCATGAAGGTATGGATGAGATCTACTTCGGGTGAAGAATTCGGATAAGAACCGAATTATACCGACGACTTGTAACTTTCGACGATGGTATTGCGAAAACGCAAGAATAAATACAGTATAATTTCTAGACAACGATTGGCGCATGCGAAAGAATGGAATCTCTGGGGTAGATTACAGCAGCGCATTAGTGCGTCACTACGTGTTTGGTAAAAAATGTGTTGTTTTGACGGTAGAATATTTTCCGACAATGACGTCAACCAAAATGACAATCATCATTTTGATTTCATTAAGACAATCCCAATTTAGGATTGAGGAAAAAGTAGGTAGTGAACTCGGGGTTAACGAGTGCAGTTATGTATGTTGTTTTTATACATGGAACACTTCTACACATGTACAGACGCGGGGTGAATACATTATGTTTCCCCCTTACCTATCAGACCAGATAATCATATCCAACTCATAGGTTAGGATCACTCTATCACCAAAATAGATGAGCTGTATTCGTCGCAACATTCGGGATCTTTATATTGTCTTTATACTTCTTAACATCCGTTTTGTTTCCTGGCGTCTCGTTTGGCAATACCTCACTTTTGGCCTTAATGATACAAATTATTCCATTTAGGGTAATAACAAGAACTTGGTAAACCGTTATCAGTACAATGTGACCGGGTCCAATACTTTGCGGGGTGCATTCGGCATGGCATTTCAGTAAGGCAGCACTTTATTATAAGCATCAGATCCGCGCTATCGCAACTAGGCAAATATACTAGCATTATAGTCTCAAAAAAAAAACCCAAAAAAACATGAATGACCATAAACGACGTTAACCTCACGACCCATTATTGACTAATGAAATGTATTACTTTTAACTAAACGAGATAGAGTTATCTTATTCGAGGGCCAAGAGTCTGTTACTAAATCACTAGAATTTCACATAATTTTAGCCCGGGACTTAAGGTAATTTGGCCTCTCCACTCTTCAGCTGCGCTTGTATACGTCAGCGAAAAAGCAGTACATTCTAAAAACAACTGAGAGGTCCGTGGGCTTAAACGGTCACCTGTGTTTGTAGTTGTGATGTGACAAAACAAATGGTACATATAATACTAATATGGCTTTTTGAGAGTGGTTTCTTGACATAAACGATGTAAGGGAGTGACTAAGATAGGGCTTGCATTGAGATGCCGATTTTAGAAAAAGACAGAAATAATAGACCTATAAAATACAACATATTATTTTACCCCATCCCAAGGGAGAAGGAAAACTCCTCTTCAATTCTTTCACTGCGACACTTTCGGTTTCCATTTTTTCTCGATCTGCATTTCTAAGGGCTTAACATACTCTTTGATATTTATAAGTGACAACAAAACGATATTTATTAAATAGTAGAAAGTTCCTATGACAACTGATCAGGTTGCCGCAATGCTTCATGGAAGAACCACCCATAATGTCAAGTACATGTATTCATCGTTATTTAATCAAATATGATTATATTGTCAAAATTTAGTGCCTGGTGACGTCACAAATACCTACCGTGTTGTTTCAGCGCATTCACTAACATCCGCCATCGCCCCCGGATCTCCGTCTTTTCTACCAAGACGTTTAACAGGTGCTCTGTACCAGCCCTGTCACTGCTCTGACGAGTCAAGTTTTTGATTGTTGAAGCGTCTGGACCTACAATGTTAACAGGCTACTTATCAAACAGAATGCAAGAAATTCAAATAAAATGTTGAATTTATTACTGAATGCTATTGTTGCAGGTTTCTGTCGCCATCTTGGGTCAGAGGTCACATAAGTGGTGAAAACTTTGTCAACAAGTAGGGCGATGCTGTCAGTCGAGACGGCTATATGCTGTTGAATTTCGACAGTTTAAGGACACGTTTGCCTTAAACGAGGGTTACCAATATAAGACAACAGGTCCGAACCTATGAACTTATTTCTTCTGCTTCGTCTAAAATCCTAATCACCAGCAATATCATAACTTGGAAGCAGTCATTCTGCGACAACCTTGACCTGGCATATATATTTACGTTAAAGATTATCTATGTACATGTATTTAGGGTGTTGCGTTTCTATTGCGTGTGAGTGTAAATACTCATGATAATTTTATAATATTAAAAAACTATTGTTAGCCGTGTTGAATAGCATGGTTTCATAAATATCCACCATCAATTCACGGTTGATGGAGTCGCAATAACTGACTTTTGCTAACATGTTTGTACATCAATCTTTAAAAGTCTGTCGTTGGATCCATATTAAACTCTGGCAAGCCTGTCTCAAACCGTCGTTAAATCAATTATTTATCCACGGCCAGTTATCAGGGTTTGTCAAAGTATCGAAAAAAATAATTAGTTTTAACTCTAACTTTACAGTTCATTACAGACTATAATCAAAATCGTCAATTTTCCAAGTATGGTTGCATTGTCTTGTCGCAAAGGGTGCTCTGGAAAAGGATTGTAATTGGATTAGAGTAGATAAATCCCGATAAGAGATACGTGGCAATAACGAGGCGCGGGTGTGTGTTTTTAATGGCTCTCTTTTTAATTTTGATAAGCAATAACAAAATATATGATTACAAGGGCACTCAAAATGACACAACTTGAAATGTGTTATTTGCACTTTAATAGAGACGACGATTTGTCGACCTATAGTTTTAAGTCGCTAATTTTAAGAAAATGGCTGAGAATTATTAACTGGTGATATGATGAAACATAACCACCATTTAAACTAGTGATAGGGATGGGACATCCTCGATGCTCCAGTACTAGTGGGTACGCTCACTTTAGCTCTCTTCACCGGTACCGCTGGCATACAGTTGAAGGCACACGGCTAGCTATTTGATTGGTCTCAGGTAAAACAAACCTTACCAATCACCAGTCTGATACCTGTCCTTTAAAGATTACAAAATGGCGACACCCGATCGCGACCGACCCATTGTTTTCTGTAACGTCCATACAACGTTCGGCCGACACATTGTTTTCTACAATGTCGGTACCACGTTGGGCCGACAACAAAACGTTGAGATACAAAAAATGCAACGGGCATGGAGCGATACCGTTGCAGAATATGCATTTATACATTGTTATGTCTTTCATTAAAATTTGGTATTTTGTAACGTTGGTGCCACGTTGGGCCGAAACATTTTTTCTACAACGTCGGAAAAACTTTGGGACGACATCTAGACGTATCAATAAAACATGGTCGGTTTGATATAGATAAATACAGCGTTGGACTGACAGCATTACATGTTTTATGAGATAACAGTGCCAGATATTTCGTTTGAAACTGGCGTTTTTCTAAACGTTGGTGCCACGTTGAGCAGACAACTATATATTTGAACAGAATTTAATTCAAAAGGAGGATTCTAACCTGAAACTTTTCTGGAGTTTATTCGAATAAAGAATGTAGAGTGAAGAATAAAGATAGTATTCTCCTAAATCGCCAACATTTGCCATGCACAAAACATTGCCCGTATGACGGCGAATCCCGTTATCTTATGTAACCCATCTACGTAACTATAGCTACGGTCAGCGCACACATACTGCTTTTGAATGGGAGTCAACGGTGTCCGCCACCTACATTTTCTTTGTTGGAACGACCGGATGCTGGACACGAACTTCTCATATTTATTCCAAGTAGGTAAGCTCTAAATATATTGTTGTTGGCATGCATCTTGTTCATATTCATAACTTTAACAGTCTGTAACTATTTGTTATTTAATTAAGGTAAAATATCCTTACTATTACAAGGCTTATAACAGTGTATATGTGGATTAAATACTCATAACATAAGAGTGTGGAATTTCGTATATGTGTGTGACTATACAATACATTATATATTTTGTACCTACAACCTTAATTTTATCATATACGTATACGTAGTCTGAGCAAATATCAGTACCGGGCGGTACATGTTTATAAAACTCTTATCAGTACCGGGCGGTACATGTTTTATAAAACTCTTTCATGCCCAGGGGTGTAGGAGGGTTTTGCCAAATTTGAAAATCCCGACGGTGGAATTTCCCTATCCTACACTCTTGGGCATGAAAGAGTATTTTTCTTTCATTCCAACCACCAGAATAAGCCCAGAAACCATGAAAATGCGTTTGAACTGGCCACCATTTTGAAAATATCAATTTCCCCCCTGATCGACCTTTTTAGACGAAAACAAATCAGCCAGCCAAATTAAGCATATCCCATATTTGCAAACAGTGTTTGCGCAGAAAAATTAATCACATTTTTTTAACGTGTACGGTAAATATATCGTAAAAGGTTTTAATTTCATAACGTCACCTTTTCCGCAGTGCAGCATCGGAGAGTTTCAAATTCATGACGTCATGTCATTGTTGAGCCATTGTGACTATACGCCACGTGAAATGGGGTTTAAGATATATAGGATCTTACATGACTTTCCATTTCGTATGAGATTTATGAAACGAATCTAAGATTTTTTCAATTTTTTAGAGAGCCTCTGGCGTGCTAAAATGAAAAATTATTGACGAGTTTCATCAATTTCATATGAAATAAGATTATTTGTTTCACATAATCAAGATTTGTTGCATTTATTCGTGTAAAACGACAATTTCCATGCAACCTTGAAATGTAAAAAGCCGCCATTTTGACTCCAGTGCGTAAATCTATGACGTCATGTACTTGTCCTAGGCGTGACGTCACAATTGAAACAATTGAAACTTTCAACCAATCACAGAGCTGATAGGTAATGTTACATGGGTTAATACGCAAAAAAATATGATATGGGTATATTCACTGGATATGTGATAAAGAAATTTCCTACACCCCTTTCTTACCCTGGACAGCTTTATCATACACACTTGATTGTAAAATTATTTTGAAATGAAAGTGCATATCGATATCATAGTATACTATGCAGGAAATATGCTAATGATCCTACTGTTTGATAAACTATTATCACAATTCTTAAATCGTTGTTTAAACTGCAGAATATTGAAATAAAACAGTTCAACGTAATACTCACGAATTTTATAATTTGTATGTTTCAGGTGCACATGAAGTTTAAAATTGCTATACTCCTAGGAGATGGCAGTCAGGAGCCCGCATTTCTCATGCAACAGTGACTAAATAAATACTTATTCAAAACATGACAGTCCTGTTGCTTTAATATTAATGTTGACATTGTGCAAGTATTTCGTTACATCAACTTAAAAAATATGGATTCGCCTCATGCAAAACTATTCTAGTTCTACCATTTTCTAGTTCTACCATATATAGTGACCACCTTCAACTAATTGAAGATTTTGTCACGAAGTTGGGTTTATGCAGCACAAATGACAGACTATATATACTACATAATTATTAATCACTTAGTTAAAGTTAACAGAAGGAGAATTTAGTTCGAGGAGAGTCCGAGAGAGAGGTCCGAGCAAGCCAGTGATTGGGCAGCCCCCACCGACAAAGCTTGTTCGGAAAAGGGGGAAAAGAAGAGAAGTGGTAAATTATTATTTGAATTCTGTTGAAGTAACTAATTACTCTGCATCTTCAATTTTATAGGTGTGGCTGGAAAGAGATGTTTTGAAATAGTTGAAAGTGGGTGCATTAACGATGTCCGATGGTAATTTGTTCCAGTCTAGTATGGTACGAGGAAAAAATTATTGTTGTCGAGTTAGTGTTTTCGAGTATTGCTGTTGGTATTGGACCTGATGGGAATTTCTAGGAATTCTTCTGGCTCGGTTCATCCTGTCAGTCGAGGATATGGCCCCCGTGCCCTGATGTATTTTATAGAACATCTTTAGGCGTGCATCTTTCCTACGATCTGACAGGCTGCGCCAGCCAAGAGTACCAATCATATCTGTTACACTAGAGGTATTCCGAAAGCGATTTGACACATAACGGACTCCTCTCCTCTGGACCATTTCTATTTTGTTGATATTATTTTTTGTGTAAGGATCCCAAACAGAGCAAGCATATTCTAACGAGGGTCTTACCAAAGATTTGTAAGCCTGCTCTTTAAATGTTGTTGAGCTAATTTATAGGTTTCTTCTGAGAAATCCTAGAGTAGAATTTGCCTTGTTGCAAATCTGATCTACATTAGAGTCCCATTTCAAATCTGATCTGAGGTTTACACCTAGGTATTTCACAGAATTAACATGTTTTAATATTTGACCATGAAGAGAATAATTAAAAATAACAGGTGATTATTTCTTAGAAATTGTGAGAGCATAACACTTATCTGGGTGGAAAGCCATTAACCATTTTTTCTCCCAAAGGGCTAGTTTGTCCAGGTCAGACTGTAGGGTGCTTGCATCTTTCTCTGACGTAATTGTCGGATATACGATGTATCATCCGCAAACAGTCTGACCGTGGAGTTCAAGCCAATTGGCATATCATTGATATAAAATAGGAACAGACTAGGCCCCAGCACAGGTCCCTGAGGGACGCCGGATAAAACTGGTACATACTCAGATTTGACGCCTTCAACAAGTACTGATTGGGTTCTATTATTTAAGAAGTTTGAGATCCAGGAAGTAGTTTTATCATCTATGCCATAATGACTGAGTTTGTTGGTAAGAAGAGAGTGGCTGACCTTATCAAATGCCTTGGAGAAATCCATAACTAACACATCCGATTGTTTTGAGTTGTCAAGAGTTTTGGTAATATCATCAACAAATTCTAAAAGTTGTGTCTCGCAGGATCTGA